AGCATTCTTCCTTCTACACCGAGTGGCCAATATACTGACTCTTTTGTTTTTCCCCTTTATTTTGAACATATCTAAATAAGTCTTAAAAATAAATAAATATTCAGCATCTTTTGCTAACCTCAGCACCTTGTGCATTTCTCTTTCTTGTCACCATTTCAACAATTCTGGGCTACGTCTCTGTAACATTTTCCTTTCCGACCTGGTCTAGTTTCCATTTCATACATATGTCCTTTAAAAAAAAAAATTGGATTCTCCCTAAGCTTTTTGCATAGCTGCGTATGCCAGTTTTGCTGCCTTTCAGCTCTTTTTTTTTTCCTCATGATTTTTTTTTTCTTATTTCCACCGTGCTTCTCAAAGGTCGTTTTTTTTAAAAAAAAGAAATCTCACCCATCTCAGACTCCCCCCCTATTTTTTTTTCTTCCCTTGATCTTCCCCATCGCGTGTCCGAGCTTATTAAGAGCCACTTAAATGCTATTTCCATCGGTGCCATTTCCTGAAAAGGCTGTGTCGTGTTTTTTTTTTTTAATAGTCTATTATCTCCTCAACAATTTAAAATTGGTTATGGTGAGGGCTGTCAGAAGTTCACCATCAAAGAGTAAATTGCTGCCAGCATGATTTAATCCACTAAAACTTTCTGTATCACCTTGAAACCGCCCTTCCCCCCCGGTTGATATCATTACCATTAAGATCGCGTACTGTTGCTTAAAAATTCTCCATCTAATAAAAAAAAAATGAGTCCCATGAAGACAGTGACATGAACTACCGTATTTTCCGGAGTATAAGACGCACTTTCACCCCCTAAAAGTGGATGAAAATTTCAGTGCGTCTTATAGACCGAATACAGGCCCGTTTTTGGGCTCCCAAATCCTCCACGCATCGCATTTTCGCCCTCCCTGGCACCAGAAGCACCCAGCAGTGCTCCGCATGGCCCGTTTTCACCAAAAACGAGTCTGTTTTGGGGCTCCCGAACCCTCCACACATCGTGTTTTTGCCCTCCCCAATCCCCAGAAGCACTCTACAGTGCTCCGCACCGTTTTCACCAAAAACGGGCCTGTTTTGGGCTCCTGAGCCCTCCATGAGTCATGTTTTCGCCTTCCTCAGCCCCCAGAAGCACTCTGCAGGCCAAAAATGGGTGCATTTTTGTCAAAAATGGGATGCACGGAAGGTTCGGGAGGCCGAAAATGAGCCTGTTTTTGGCCTGCAAAATGCTTCTGGGGGCCAGGGAGGGTGAAAAAGTGACGCGCGGAGGCCAAAAGCTTTTTTTTTCTTGTTTTCTTCCTCTAAAACTAGGTGTGTCTTATAGTCCGGTCCGTCTTATGGTCCGAAAAATACGGTAATGCTTATCTCCTAGCACTCCTGTTTCTCCACTCCTGTTAATAAGGGAGATAAGCCTCCAAATATATTATTTTATTGCAAGAAAGGATTTGGTCTTACTAAATGATGGAGAATGAAATAAGGTGGAAAACTGCCTCCTTACACTCATTTTATGAAGGTTAACCCAGGGAGTTTCTTATTTCTATTAGGAATTAGTTTATAGGAAATCGGAAAAGGTTTAAAATCATCATCATTTTATGACCCCATAATCCCTTGCAGGGCAGAGCCTGGGCAATTGAATGGAGCTAGCACAATGTTTTAATGGCCGGATACCCTTCCTGTCACCGATGCAGAGTTTTGTTCAGCAGATATATTCTCAGTGTACCCAAGAGAGAAAAGGTTTAAAATAATAACCGTATATTCATGTAACTACAGTTAGTCCTTGACTTAACACCTACAATTGGAACCAGGACTTCCAAGGCAGTTGTTAAGAGAGTCACGGCTGAATTTATGACCCTGTTTCCATGACTGTGAGGCGAATCATGGGAGTTGCTAAGTGAATCGTGACGTTGTTAAGCGAATCCGGATTTCCCCAGTGACTTTGCTCATTGGAAACTCCCTAGGAAGGTCTCAGATGGTGATCACATGACCTCGGGAGATGATGCAGCCATTGTAAATACACGCCGGTTGCCAAGCAACCAAATTTTGATCAAGAGACCGTGGGGATGCTGCAATGGGCGTAAGAATGAGGATCAGTCACTTTTTTTTAATGGCTGTTGTAACTTTAAATGGTTATAAGTCGAGGACTAGCTGTATTCTGACAGTTGGGACTATTCAGGTAGTCCTCGACTTACAACAGTTTGTTTAATGACCGTCCGAAGTTACAACGGCACTGAAAAAAAGGACTTACCATGGTTTTTCACACTTATGACCAGCATCCCCGTGGTCACGTGATCTACATTTGAATCAGGGGTGGTATTGACTTACCTTCGCTACCGGTTCGCAAATGTGAGAGCGCGCGCCACCTCTGCACATGCACAGGACCTTCTGCGCATGTGCAGAGCATCAAAAATGGGATGTGATGATGTCCGGGCAGGTGGGCGGAGTCTCCCACAGCCGCCACTACCAGTTTGCCTGAACCGGATATAACTGATTCAGATGCTTGACAACTGGTTCCTAGTTATGACCCTTCCAGTGTCACACGATCCCCTTTTGCGACCTTCTGATAAGCAAAGTCAACGGGGAAGCCAGATTCACTTAACAACTGCTTTACTAATTTAACAACTACAATGACTCACTTAACAACTGCGGCAAGTAAAGTCGTAAAATGGACTCACTTGACAAATTTCTCACTTAGCAAGATAAATTCTGGGCTCAATTGTGGTCATACATAGAGGATTACATAGGATAAAGGATGAAGGCTTCTGATTTCCTCTCCTGAAAACCCCCTGTCCTCACCTCCTACCCCCTAAGTGTGGTACCCCACTGCTACCACCTAACCCCCAAGGAGCACCTTATGTTGCCCTGACTCTAATCTCTGTCTGTGACCCACGTTGGGCTCCCAAAAACTATGTGCCTTACTTGTATTTAAAAAGGAAATTAGAATTTTAAAAATGGGACAAATATGCAGTGGTGAAATCCTGCCGGTTCTTTCCGGTTCGTGCAAACTGGTAGCACCGGTGGTGCATGGTTCAGCGAACTGGTAGTGGCAGCAGCATAAGGCTCCGCCCGCCCACCCGGATGTCGTTACTTCCTAGTTTTAACCAGGAAATAACCCACTTTTGACCCTCTGCGCATGCACAGAAAACTATGCGTATGCACAGAGGGTCAAAAATCGGAACTGATGATGGCGCACACACTTCTGAACTGGTAGGGAAGGTAAGTAGATTTCACCCCTGGAAATATGTAATATAATATTTTGGTTAAATAGCCCAGATGAATACCCTCCGCTTACAACCATATGTTTAATGACCGTTCAAAGTTATAGTGACACTGGAAAAAGTGAGTTACAGTTGGTCCTCGCACTTATGACCCCATCCCTACTATCACATGATCAAAAACTGGCCTGCAGGATCCCAGGATCACATGATTGCCATTTGCTACCTTCCCAGCTGGCTTCTAAGTCACTGGAGGAAGCCAGTTTCGCTTAACGACCTCATGATTCATTTAACAATTGCAGCAATTTGCTTAATAACATGGCAAGAAAGGTCATAAAATCAGATTTAAAACCAGTAAGAAATAAAAAAATAAACAACCAAACCCAAACATAAATGTCTTTTTAAATTATTTATTCTAAAAATTATATGATTATATAATATTATATAATTATATTATATAATGCAATTATATTATTATTATATTATTATTATTATATTATTATTATATCATATACAAATATTATTATATAATAATACAATTATATTGCTATAATATTAATATTATATAATATTGTAATATTGTAGTTTTATATAATAATACAATTATAGTACTATAATATTAATATTGTACAATATTGTAAAAAATGTATGATTATATAATAATACAATTATATTGCTATAATATCGATATTATATAATATTGTAAGATTATAGTTTTATATAATAATACAATTATTGTACTATAATATTAATATTGTACAATATTGTAAAATTGTATGATTATATAATAATACAATTATATTGCTATAATTTTAATATTATATAATATTGTAAGATTATAGTTTTATATAATAATAAAATTATAGTACTATAATATTAATATTGTACAATATTGTAAAATTATATGATTATATAATAATACAATTATATTGCTATAATATTAATATTATATATATATTGTAAGATTATAGTTTTATATAATAATACGATTATAGTACTATAATATTAATATTGTACAATATTGTAAAATGGTATGATTATATAATAATACAATTATATTGCTATAATATTAATATTATATAATATTATAATATTATAGTTTTATATAATAATACAATTATTGTACTATAATATTAATATTGTACAATATTGTAAAATGGTATGATTATATAATAATACAATTATATTGCTATAATATATAATATTGTAAGATTATATGTGTATAATAATATAATTATATTACTATAATATTAATGTTATATAAGAGTATATGTTTATATAATAATACAAATATTACAATTATATTAACATTATATAAGATTATATGATTATAAAATAATACAATTATATTACCATGTTTCCCCGAAAATAAGACCCTGTCTTATATTTTTTTGAACCCCAAAATAACTGCTTGGCCTTATTACCATGCGCTCAAAAGCCCGATTGGGCTTATTATCAGGGGATGTCTTATTTTGGGAGAAACAGGGTAGTATAATATTAATATTATAAGATGATATTATTATACAATAATACAATTATATTACTATAATTTTAATATTATAAGATTATATTATTATACAATTATACAATATATTATTATACAGTACAATTATATTATTATAATATTATATAGAAGATTATATTATTATTATTATATAATACAGACAGTCTTCAAGGACCTCTCTATATGAAGAAGAAGATGCGGATTCAAATTCCGCTGCTCACTGGCCTTCTTGCAATATCAAGGGGGCAAGGATACAGCTGCCAGCTTCACTCCGGTAACTTTATGTGTTTTGATTCTGTTTCCAGTCATCACAATATTTAAGGGCAAAGTGGAAGAAATTGAATTGCCTGTGGACAAAGTAGATATCATAATCAGTGAATGGATGGGCTACTCCCTTTTCTATGAGTCCATGCTTAACACGGTCATCTTTGCTCGGGACAAGTGGCTGGTAGGCGTTTGGTCTCTTCTACCGTATTAGCTTCCTAGAAGGTCTTTTAAATCTTGGTTCTGGAGTGACAGATGCCACACAATTACCGGGACAACTGAAATATGAATGCCAGGGATGTTTCATACGTAGTTGTGCTTATTAAAATGTATGTATATCACCTTTCCATAATCATCACTGTACAATGTATCACCTATACAGTATATCGTTTATGAAACCATAGTCCTAGCACTGATGATGTTCCCTAGTTGGGTAATGAAACGTCTGCCAGAAAACAACTAAGCACAACTAAGAGCTGCCTGCAGTTCAGCTTTGAGCTACAAAGCTCTTGTTTTGAAATCCAGTTAAATCACATTCAAATAAAAAGTAAAAACGGAGACTTCCCAAGCTCTCCAAACTTGAGACAAACAAACAAACAAACAAACAGATGAAGCTGCCAAAATATTGACCTCTCCAGATCTTAGAATTTAAATTCAGACTTACATGAGAAAGTTTATTCACTAAGAATGGAGTCAATTAGCCACCACGAAGGCTATTCACGCTTCCAACAGTACTTTTCTGATCCCGTTTTTAATTGTTTTTTCTAAAAAAAAAACTAGTGGGGAAAATATCTGGCATTGATCTGATCAGGATTTTAAAAGTTAAACAAAACCAGTGATCCTTATACCCGCTTCACCTATTTTTATTTTTATTTTATTTTGGGGAAGTGCAGGAGAAATGCTAGTTGAACCTCACTTCTGATAAAAATGGTTTCTCCCATCATGTAAAGCTCCTAGATCCGGGTTTGACAATCTTGTCAACTTTAAGACGTGTGGACTTCAACTCCCAGAATTCCATGCTGGCTGGGGAATTCTGGGAATTGAAGTCCACATGTCCTTAAAGTTACCATGGTTGGAAAACTCCAGCCTATATATATATATCCGTGATGGCGAACATATGGCATGCGGGCCGGAAGTGGCACGCAGAGCCATCTCTCTGGGTATGCGAGCCATCGCCCGTTACTCTTCCTGGTTCTGGCATGCTGGCCACCTGGTATTCACGCGCGCAGGAGTGCCAAAAACTGGAAGAGCAGCTGCCTGGTGTGCATGCGCATGTCAGAAACCAGAAAATCATCTTCCCAGCACGCGTATGCACACCAGGCAGCTGCTGTTCTGGTTTCCGGCATGCGCATGTATGGGCACACATGCTCCCATTTCGGCACGGTGCCGAAAAGGTTCGCCAACACTGCTTAGGTATATATTCTTGGGGTGGTTTTTGGGTGGAGGAGGGGACTGGAATTATTTTTTTTGAAGTAGAAACTGCCTGACAAAGAAGATTGTCCTGTTCTCTGGAAATGTCATGTGACCGGCAGAGAGAGAGAGATGGTCTTCATTGTCTTTCTGTAGTCAGGATCTGGTTTTGGTTTGGTCTAATTTATCCTTTGTCCTCTGCTCCATTTCAATGACCCCATACCGAGGGGTGGGGGGAAACGATGGCCCTTTTATGACTTCAACTCCCAGAATTCCATGCTGGCTCAGGAATTCTGGGAATTGAAGTCCAGGACATCTTAAAATCACCAAGGTTGAGAAAGACTGGCTTTGAGCATCAAAAGTATTAATCACTTAGCAATATCTAACACACCATTTAGACCAGGGGTCAGCACCTTTCATCCCTCTGCTGCAGCTCCCTGTCACTCAAAATATGCGTCACAACTGCCAATGTGTGACAACGCAATTTATTGAGCTTTTCAACCCCCAGTAGGCCAACCATGGATAAATCCAAGAAAAGTTTCAGAAGAAAACAGAACGTTTAATTCAACTACATATGATGCTCAAGAAATAGTCAGGTACGGGAAGGGTTTTGTGGCTCCCGGTGTTTTCTTTTCTGTGGGAAACAGGTCCAAATGGCTCTTTGAGTGCTTAAGGTTGCAGACAGGGCCCTGATTTAGACCAAGTGTGAGGAACTATGGCCTTTTTATAACTTGTGGACTTCAAAGAGGAAGGGGGTCAAGCTATTTTCCAAAGCACCTGAAGGCCAGACAAGGAAAAATGGATGGAAACTGACCAAGGAGAGATTCAACCTGGAAATAAGGAGACATTTTCTGACAGTGAGAGCAATCAAGCCACGGAACAGAAATTGCCTTCGGAAGTTGTGGGAGCTTCATCACTGGAGGCTTTCAAGAAGAACCTGGACTGCCACCTCTCAGAAATGGTGTAGGGTCTCCTGTTTGGGCAGGGGGTTGGACTAGATGACCTACAAGGTCCCTTCCAACTCTGTTAATCTGTAATCCAAACTCCCAGAATCCCATGGCAGCTCAGGAATTCTGGGTGTTGAAGTCCACAAGTCCTGAAGGGGGGGCATCGTTCCTCATCACTGCCCTAGACCACTGATGGTGAACCTTTTTGGCACTGAGTTCCCAAACTGGAACACGCATGCATGTGCATGTGCACATACTGGAGCACCGGAAACCGGAAGACCAGCTGGCCGGCGCACTCATGCCTGTTTTTTGGCCATTTTGGGGGCCATTTTCAGGGCTGTTTTCCGGCCATTTTCCGAGCCATTTTTCGGGCCAAAACCAGCCTGAAAAATGGCATGAAAAGGCCCAGAAAACGGCCTGAAAACGGGCCAGAAAAGGCCTGGAAACGGGCCAAAAAATAGCCTGGGTTTTGGCTGTTTTCAGGCCATTTTCTGGTGCTCCGGCACTGCGAAGCACCGGAAACCAGAAAGGCAGCTGGTGTCAGTGCATGTGCCCACAGAGAGGGCTCTGCATGCCACTTCTGGCATGAATGCCATAGGTACGTCATCACGGTCCTAGACCAAAGAAAGGGTCTATCAACTCCAGGCTCGAGAAGGGCCCCGGATGTTATTTTTCCAAGCCCTTTGGAGTGGCAAAGTGACATGAAAGAGGAAGGGATGTTTGTCTGGTTGTTGTTTGTTGTGGTTTTTATCCGCCTTCAAAAATGTGATGTTTTTGTTAGGTGAATAGATTAAGACATCCATTTCCACACAATTCGTCAACAGAAACCAGGAGGGCTTATGTTTCCAGACCGAGCGGCTTTGTACATGGTAGCCATCGAAGATCGACAGTACAAGGATTTCAAAATCCATTGTGAGTCCGCGGACAATTTATACGGCTTCGCAATTCACCCGCCGGCCCGGTGTTTTTCTAGCCAACTTGCTACAGGCAGTTTTTGACTTACGACGGGTTGCTTAGCGGCTGTTCGAAATGATGACTGGCCCCGCAAAAAGTAATTACAACCCAGTTCCAAAATCCTGATGGATGCCCCCTCCCCTACCCGGCCATGTGACCATATTTTGGGCACTTGGCAACTGGTCTTCAGTACAACTAGTGGTGGGATTCAGCCGGTTCGGGCCAGTTGAGGCCGGTTCGGGCAAATTGGTAGTTAAATTGCTGACTGGCCCCCCCCTCCCTGCCCCTTCCAGGAGTCCCCACACGCCCCATTTTGGCTAAATTGAGGATTACCTGTACTTTTGGTTCAGTTTTCTGAATTAAAGCTGGGTGACTTTGGGCCAATCTCCAGGAGACTGTGAGTTCTAATCCTGCCTTAGACATAAAAGCCAATTGGGTGACTTTGGGCCAATCACCAGGAGACTGTGAGTTCTAATCCCACCTTAGCGATGAAAGCCAGCTGGATGAATTTTGGACCAGTCCCTCTCTCTCAGCCCAATTTCATCTCACAGGGTTGTTATGGGGAAAATAACCGGAAGAAAATGCGATGGATATTTTCACCGCCTTGAGTTACTTGTAAAAATAATAAAGGCGGATACAAAATAAAATAAAATAATAGTTATTATTGTTAGTAATTGAAATCAGGTGACTCCTGAATTTGATTTATTCAAGGACAGTGTTTCTCAACTTTGGGCAACTTTTAAATATGTGCCTAATACATCAATGGGCTTCATCTCCCAGAATTCTTTGCTGGCTGGGGAATTCTGGGAGATGAAGTCCACACATTTGAAAGTTGTTTTAAGGTCGAGAAATGCCGCGGTAGGCGCTTACTTACGCAAATGAAAATGTGTCCTTCAATTTCCCACTTTGCCTTGACAGGGTGGGAGAACGTCTATGGCTTCGACATGACCTGTATCCGAGACGTGGCCATGAAGGAGCCTTTGGTGGACATCGTTGACCCAAAGCAAGTGGTGACCAATGCTTGTTTAATAAAGGTTTGGTGCTTTTCAAAATATAAACTATAAAATGAGGTCCTTCTGCAAGGCTATTTTTTTTTTAAACTCCTTTTGTCTTTGCATCATCATCATTTAATGACCCCCATAATCCCCTTGCGGGGTGGAATCTGGGCAACTGAATGGAGTTAGCAGAATGTTTAATGGCCGGATGCCTTTCCTGTTGCCAATGCGGAGTTTTGTTCAGGAGATATATTCTCTCATTGTGCCCAGAGAGAGAAATATCTCCCTCTACCTAGGATTGAACTCACAGCCTCCTGATCCTGAGGCGAGAGCTTCCCCTCTAGGTCACCGCACCACTCTTTCATTTGTCATTGCATGCTGCTAATAAATTGTAGATCAGGTGTCTGCAACCTGTGGCTCCGGAGCCGCATGCGGCTCTTTGGGCCCTCTGTTGTGGCTCCCTGTTGGATGATCCCACCACTGTCTGGCCCCATCCTTCGCCCTCCCCTCCCAGGCACTCCTCACCTGGCCTGAGAAGGTAAGGGCGATGGCAGGGGATGGAGAAGCGGCCGGGGCAGAGACAGAGAGATACAGAGAGAGGGGGAGAGAGAGACATAGAAAGATACAGAGAGAGGGGGAGAGAGAGACATAGAGAGATACAGAGAGGGGGGAGAGAGAGACATAGAGAAATACAGAGAGAGAGGGAGGGAGAGACATAGAGAAATACAGAGAGAGAGGGAGGGAGAGACATAGAGAGATACAGAGAGAGGGGGAGAGAGAGACATAGAAAGATACAGAGAGAGGGGGAGAGAGAGACAGAGAGATACAGAGAGAGGGGGAAAGAGAGACATAGAGAGATACAGAGAGAGGGGGAGAGAGAGACAGAGAGAGATACAGAGAGAGGGGGAGAGAGAGACATAGAGAGATACAGAGTGAGAGGGAGGGAGGGAGGGAGAGGGAGAGAGATGTCAAAAGGATTTTGTGGTTCCCGTTGTTTTTTAATAACTGGTTCTCTGCCCTGGGTAGGCGTGGCTAGGGGGGTGTCATGTGACTGGTGAAAGTGAGTGACGTTGAGCTGGCCACGCCCACCCAGGTTTTGTGGCTCCTGGTGTTTTCTTTTTTGTGGGAAATGGGTCCAAATGGCTCTTTGAGTGTTTAAGGTTGCAAACCCGTTGTAGGTAGATGTTGGTTTTTCTTTCTCCTAACGAGTTAGAACCTTCATTTGTACTTCTATAACTGTCAGGTTTGGCTCAGGAACCAAAGAGGACAAACACAGACTTCAATGGATAGTTAGGACTGCAGAAAAAAAATAAAATAAATTGCCTTCCAGTGAGGATCTGTCTACTGCACGAGCCAGAAGGAAGACTAGGAAAATATCTACAGATCATTCACATCCCGGACATAAGCTGTTTTCAACGCCTCCTTTTGGGACGCTGCTACAGGGCATTGCATGCCAAAACAACTAGACACACAGACAGTTTTTTCCCCTCGTGCCATCTCTCTGCTGAACGTTTAACTCCCACAGTCCTGTCTTAAGCTTTAAGGATATCTAATCATGTAGTAGGACTGTCTTGCTGTATCCTTCCCATCTTTCCTATTACCTTCTACCATTGATATCGTGTGATTTATCGCTTTGTTGTTTTGTATCTTATGATTCAGGATGATATCTTATGATTTAGGATTTATCACTTTGTTCTTCGTATGTACACTGAGAGTTTATGCAGTGGAGACAAATTCCTGGTGTGTTGAATCACAGTTGGCCAATAAAGAATATTCTGTTTTGTTCTGTTCTGTTCTGTTCTGTTCTGTTCTGTTCCATTCCCCATTCTCTTCTCCTCTCTTCTCCTCTCCTCTTCCATTCCATTCCGTTCTATTCCATTCTATTCTCCATTCCATCTCTTCTCTTCTCTTCTCTTCTCTTCTCTTCTCTTCTCTTCTCTTCCTCTTCTCTTCTCTTCTCTTCTCTTCTCTTCTCTTCCATTCCATTCTCCATTCTCCATTCTCTTCTCTTCTCTTCTCTTCTCTTCTCTTCTCTTCTCTATTCTCCATTCCATCTCTTCTCTTCTTTCTCTTCTCTTCTCTTCTCTTCTCTTCTCTTCTCTTCCTCTTCTCTTCTCTTCTCTTCTCTTCTCTTCTCTTCTCTTCTCTTCTCTTCCATTCCATTTCTCCATTCTCTTCTCTTCTCTTCTCTTCTCTTCTCTTCTCTTCTCTTCTCTTCTCTTCTCTCCTCTCCTCTCCTCTCCTCTCCTCTCCTCTCCTATTCTATTCTATTCTATTCTATTCCATTCCCTTCCCTTCCCTTCCCTTCCCTTCCCTTCCCTCCTTCCCTTCCCTTCCCTTCTCCATTCTCTTCTCTTCTCTTCTCTTCTCTTCTCTTCTCTTCTCTTCTCTTCTCTTCTCTTCTCTTCCCTTCCCTTCCCTTCCCTTCCCTTCCCTTCCATTCCATTCCATTCCATTCTGTTCTTCATTCCATCTATTCTGTTTTGTTCTTTTCCGTTCCGTTCCGTTCCGTTCCATTCCATTCCATTCCATTCCATTCCATTCCATTCCATTCCATTCCATTCTATTCTATTCTATTCTATTCTATTCTATTCATCAGAACAGAGCTGGAAGGGACCTTGGAGGTCTTCTAGTCCAGCCTCCTGCCTGATCAAACAGGAGACCCTATACTGTTTCAGACAAGTGGCTGTCCAGTCTTTTCTTAAAAACTTCCAGTGATGGGACCCCACACAATTTCTGGAGGCAAGTTGTTTCACTGATTAATTGTTCTCACGGTCAGGAAATTCCTCCTTAGTTCTAAGTTGCTTCTCTCCTTGATTAGTTTCCATCCATTCTTTCTTGTCCTGCCCTCAGGGGCTTTGGAGAATAGCTTGACTCCCTCTTCTTTGTGGCAGCCCCTGAGATATTAGAAGACTGTTATCATGTCTCCCCTAGTCCTTCTTTTCATCAAACTAGACATACCCAGTTCCTGCAACCGTTCTTCATATGTTTTAGCCTCCAGTCCCCTAATCATCTTTGTTGCTCTTCTCTGCACTCTTTCCAGAATCTCAATATCTTTTTTTATATTGTGGCGACCAAAACTGGATGCAATATTCCAAGTGTGGCCTTACCAAGGCCTTATAATCAAAGGCATATGCTCCCTAGTGCCTTCGAGGAACCCAAAACATCATAGAGCTAAAGGCTTCTGGCTGGCAGCTTCTCGAAAGCTGTGGGTCCTTGTGCCAAAATGTGTACTGCAGTTCTTGTGTACAAGGACTTCTGTCTGAATATGAACAGAAAAAGAAAAACTCAACTGTTTCCTCTTTATTTGTTTGCTCTGCTTGAGCCCATAGATACTTTTTGATTATGAAAGCTGGCTGTGGCACTTCTGCTGTTTAAGAGCTGCCGTGTTCCCATTTAGTCCCACTTCCAAGAAATCCAGGCCAAGTTAATGAATTGTTTTTAAGAAACAGGAATTTGCAAGCAGTGAAAGAAAGAAAGAAAGAAAAAAAAAAAGAGGTGAGAACTGCAGCTGAGTGTTGGCAGCGCTAAGGAAACACTATATGCTGGGTTGCAAAAAAAAAAAAAACACCATGAAAAAAGGAATTCCAATAAAGATTAGATCAGTTTTGAATGAATGAGGGTTTCATGTCAGATTATTTAGGTTTATTTCCCATAGTAAAGCTCAAGTACGAATTTCAATCCACTGTAGAATGTTCTGTTTTTATATCCGTAGCCTGTTGAGACAGAACCACAGCAAAAACTGTTGAGTAACTAAAATGTTGTTATTTAAATGCAATGCTTTGAAAGCCTAAAGGTTACAACTTTTTAATTTAATTTTCCACATTTTTCTTTGTTTGGGGCATTTCACGGTAGAAATGCAGTCTCTCTCTCTCTCTCTCTCTCTCTCTCTCTCTCTCACACACACACACACACACACACACACACACACACACACACACAGAGAGAGAGAGAGAGAGAGAGAGAGAGAGAGAGAGAGAGAGAGAAAGAGATACACCATGAAAACAAAAGGCAAAATAGCAAAGCTTTTAAATTGGTGACTTTACCACTTGGTAAAGGTAAAGGTAAAAGTTCCCCTCGCACATATGTGCTAGTCTTTCCGACTCTAGAGGGCGGTGCTCATCTCCGTTTCAAAGCCGAAGAGCCAGCGCTGTCCAAAGACGTCTCCGTGGCCATGTGGCCGGCATGACTCAATGCCAAAGGCGCACGGAACGCTGTTCCCTTCCCACCAAAGGCGGTCCCTATTTTTCTACTTGCATTTTTTACAAGGTTTCGAACTGCTAGGTTGGCAGAAGCTGGGGCAAGTAATGGGAGCTCACCCCATTATGCGGCACTAGGGATTCGAACCGCTGAACTGCCGACCTTTTGATCGACAAGCTCAGCGTCTTAGCCACTGAGCCACCATGTCCCTTCTTCCACGTGCTACTAGCTTGCTATTTTTGCTTCAACAATTCAGCAATTTATGTTACAGAATTGGAGCAGGAAGGACTTCGAGGGTCTCAGAAACCTCTCCAAGCAAGCAGGGGGTTGAGCCTAAGAGATATTATTTCTCTTTCTATTTCTACTATAGGTAGTCCTCGACTTACGATCACAATTGATCCCCCTAATTTCTCTTGCTAACCAAGGCAGTTGTTAACTACCTCATTTTATGACCTATTTTGCTACAGTTATTAGGTAAATCCCAGCAATTGTTAAGTGAATCAGGCTGTTGTTAAGTGAATCTGACTTCCCCCATTGACTTTGCTTGTCAGAACCTGGCTGGGAAGATTATAAATTCTTATTCTTATTCTTATTCTTATTCTTATTCTTATTCTTGTTCTGTTCTGTTCTGTTCTGTTCTGTTCTATTCTATTCTATTCTATTCTATTCTATTCTATTCTATTCTATTCTATTCTATTCTATTCTATTCTATTCTATTCTATTCCATCCCATCCCATCCCATCCCATCCCATCCCATTCCATTCCATTCCATTCCATTCCAATCTCCCTATTCTATTCTATTCTGTTCCATTCCGTTCCGTTACATTCCATTCCATATTTTCTATTCTATTTCATTCCATTACAATCCAATATTATTCTGTTCTGTTCTGTTCTGTTCTGTTCTGTTCCGCTCCTCCCGACCCCACTCTACTCCATCCCATTCCATTCCTTTTCTGAAAAAGTTGTTGGTAATTATCATTTTTAGCATTCATCGTGCCTCTTGGAACCAATTATCGTTGAGTACCAAGGTACCACTCTATCTAGTAGCTCCTGTCCTTTTTTTTTTTTTTTTTTTTTTATTATTCACATTTCTATGCCGCCCACTCTCCAAGGACTCTGGGCGGCTTACACCAAAGACAGTATACTAAATAGCATATTGCCCCCAACAATCTGGGTCCTCATTTTACTCACCTCGGAAGGATGGAAGGCTGAGTCAACCTTGAGCCGGTGAGATTTGATGCGCTGATCTGCTGAACTAGCAGTCAGCTGAAGTAGCTGCAGTACTGCACTCTAACCACTGCGCCACCTCCTGATTCTTAAAACATGTTTTGAGGCATTGGGTTGTGCTGTCCTTCTAAGGCCCATTTTAAATACTGCAGACTGAGAAATCTGTAATACTTAATTAAACTCTTCTTCATCTCTCCATCAATGCAGGATGTTGATCTTTACATCGTAAAGACGGAAGACCTGGCCTTCACCTCTGCGTTTTGCCTCCAGATCCAACGCAATGATTACATCCATGCCTTGGTCACCTATTTTAATATAGAATTTACAAAGTGCCATAAGAAGATTGGGTTTTCTACAGGTAAGTTGTCTTTCTTTCTTTTTCTTTCTTTCTTTCCCTTCCGTCTTTCTCTGTCTTTCTTTCTTTCTTTTTCTTTCTTTCCCTTCCTTCCTTCCCTTCCATCTTTCTTTCTTTTTCTTTCTTTCCCTTCCTTCCTTCCATCTTTCTTTCTTTCTTTCTTTCTTTCTTTCTTTCTTTCTTTCTTTCTTTCTTTCTTTCTTTCTTTCTTTCTTTCTCTTTCTTTCTTTCTTTCTTTCCCTTCCTTCCTTCTCTCTGTCTTTCTTTCCCTTCCGTCCTTCTCTGTCTTTCTTTCTTTCTTTTTCTTTTTCTTTCTTTCTTCCCTTCCTTCCTTCTCTCTGTCTTTCTTTCCCTTCCATCCTCTGTCTTTCTTTCTTTCTTTTTCTTTCTTTCCCTTCCTTCCTTCCATCTTTTTTTCTTTCTTTTTCTTTCTTTTTCTTTCTTTTCCTTCCTCCTTTCCTTCCTTCCTTCCATCTTTCTTTCTTTCTTTCTTTTTTTCTTTCTTTCTTTCTTCCCTTTCGTCTGCCTTTCTTTCTTGTTCTTTTCTTTCCCTCTTTCCTTCCTTCCTTCTGTCTTTCTTTCTTTCTCTTCCTTCCTTCCTTCCTTCCTTTCATCCGTCTTCCTTCCTTCCTTCCTTCCTTCCTTCCTTCCTTCCTTCCTTCCTTCAGAGGGCCCAAGGAGTCACATTACCCCCCCCACCAAGTGGCTTGGTGGGCGTGGCAGTGGAGGGATACTATAAAATCTCCATTTCCTGCCCAATCCAGGGGAAGGTTACTGCAAAATCCCCATTTCCTCCCAATCAGCTGGGATTTGGGAGGCAGAGAATAGATGGGGGCGCGGCCAGTCAGAATTTTTACTACCGGTTCTCCGAACTACTCAAAATTTCCTTCCTTCCTTCCTTCCTTCCTTCCTTCCTTCCTTCCTTCCTTCCTTCCTTCCAGGCATGACGGTTCCCCCTCCCTTACTTTCATTCATTTTTCGTAACCTAAATGTTCAGTTCTCCGGTGATTAAATATGTTCTGGTGTCCCTTCGCTTCAGCCTTGCCCTGCAGTTGGCATTGAATTATTGCAGATTTCATGGGGCGCTATAAACCGGCATTGTCAGTTGCTTTGGGAACAACATAGGGCTGCTGTGCTGCCTCTGATCTGGCATCTCACAATGCTGGAAACCCCCCCCCCCTGATGCTCTACCATTGAAACATAAAAGCGATGGCTTTATTCATGTGGAAAACGTGCTGCAGGTGTTATTTTTATTTTAAAACCATCACATTTTTCACTTTTACTGCCCTGAGTGCTGTCTGCGGGAGGGAGGGTTCCCATCGAAGTAATTCTAACAATTCGGCCCCAAAAGCAAGCACAGAAGGCAGTGGTGCAGGAAGCTTTATTTTTATTGTTTCCATTCTAAGGGTGTCTTCTTCTCTGCTTCTGATGCCCTGGACCCAGGGGTGAAATTCATCAGGTTCTGACAGGTTCTGGAGAACTGGTAGCGGAAATTATGAGCGATTCGGAGAACCGGCCAATACCACCTCTGGCTGGCCCCAGAGTGGAGAGGGAATGGGGATTTTGCAATATCCTTCCCCCAGGAGGGGGGGGGGGAATGGGGATTTTGCAGTATCCTTCCCCTGCCACGCCCACCAAAACACACCACGCCCACCAAGCCACGCCCACAGAACCGGTAGTAAAAAAAATTGGATTTCACCACTGCCTGGACTTTCATTGGGTCTGCAGCTCAGGAGAGGATAATCCTAAAGGTGTTTCTTCTCACCTTTTGGTCTCCAAGGTCTCCAAAAAAGGACAAAAGAGTTGAAAGAGACCTTGGAGACCCTATACCAGCGATGGCTAAACTTTTCCGGACCGAGTGCCCAAATTCAAATTCAAACCTTTATTGTCATAATACAACATGTGTAAAATGAGATTGGCTGAGCCTCCCTTCGTGAGTGCACGCACCCGACCCCCCAAAATGCAATGAGTGTGACCCCCACGCATGTGCCCGCCCTGTGCATGTAGCCCCCCACCTCCCACCCCCGTGCATGCATGCGCCCCCATGCATGAGCATGCATCCCGGCATGCGCCTTGCACCCCGGGCATGCGTACACGGCCCCCTACATGTCCCCCCTTGCGCATGCGCGCCAGAGACCCAACATCCAGCTGGCCAGTGGGAGGTGGGTTGGAGCTGAACTGAGGCAACAGCTCACATGTCCACAGAGAGGGCGCTGCATGCCACTACGGCCCCAGTGGTGGGTTACTCCCAGTTCACACCGGTTCGCAAGAACTGGTAGTAAAAATTTGTAGTAGTTCCGAGAACCGGTAATAACATTGGCTGGCCATGCCCCTGAACCAGTCCCCGGCCCGGTCGCCGTTCGCTTACTCCACCCACCTCATCAGAGGTTTTTTTTTTTTAACTTTTAAAAGCATTTTTTCTACAATCTCTTCGGCCAAAAAATGCTTTTAAAAGTAAAAAAAAAAAAAGCCTCTGATGATCCTGTGGCTCAGCTGGGAACGTCAGAGGCTTTTCAAAGCATTTTTTCTACAACCTCTTCAGCCAAAGAAGTGGTTAAAAAATATGCTTTGAAAAGCCTCTGATGATCCCAGCTGAGTTGCCTGATCGGCAGAGGCTTTTCGAAGCATTTTTTTCTTTAACCTCTTAAGGTTGTAGAAAAAATACTTTAAAAAAAAAAAAAAAAAAACCCTGGTGGCTCAGCAGACTAATAGCATTGTGATTAACACCAGCTGTCTGTAATTACTGTAAGTTTGAATCTCACCAGGCTCAAGGTTGACTCAGCCTTCCATCCTTTCTAAGGTAGCTAAATTGAGGACCCAGTTTGTGGGGGCAATAAGCTGACTTTGTATAAATATACAAAAAGGATGAAGGCTATTGCTTAACGCATTGTAAGCCGCCCTGAGTCTCCAGAGAAGGGCGGCATATAAATCAAATTAAAAAAAAAAAGTTGGCCATGCCCACCCAGTCACATTCCCTTGCCAAGCCACGCCCACAAAATTAGCCACACCCACAAAAGTGGTAGTAAAAATTTTTAGAAACCCCACCCCCTTGCACGGCCTTATACTATTCCAGACAAGTGGCTGTCCAGTCTCTTTTTAAAAATCTCCAGTGATGAAGTACCCACAACATCTGAAGGCAACCTGTTCCATTGGTGAATTGTCCTCACTGTTAGGAAGTTTCTCCTTAATTCCAGGTTACTTCTCTCTTTGATGAGTTTCCATCCATTGTTTCTTGTTTTGCCTTCTGGTGCGTTGCAAAATACGTTGACTCTCCTCTTCTTTGTGGCAGCCTCTCAAATATTTGAAGACCGCTATCATATCACCCCTAGTCCTTCTTTTCTCTAGACTAGCCATCACCAATTCCTACAATTACAATTACCTTGGAGTACTCATTTCTAAAAAAAATCTAAGTGCCATAGCCCATTGCAACAACATTGCCAAAAAGGCATTAAGAGTTGTTAACCTAATCTTTATTTATTTATTTATTTATTTTGTCGCATTTCTATGCCGCCCAACTCCCAAGGGACTCTGGGCGGCTTACAACAGAGAATAAAACAATGCAACAATATCCCGTACAAAAGTTAAAAGAAGACATTAAAGCATTAAAACATTAAAACGTTAAAACACATACACTCCAATTTGTGGCCAGGTCTCGCAAGATCACTATACCGAGATCAACGGCCCCAGGCCTGCCGGAAGAACCAGGTCTTCACCACTTTCCGGAAGGCCAATAGGGTGGGGACGGTCCGGACTTCAGGAGGTAATTGGTTCCAGAGAGCCGGGGTAGCCACAGAGAAGGCCCTCCCCCATTGGCCCGCCAGCCGACATTGTTTAGTTGACGGGACCCGGAGGAGACCAACTCTGTGGGATCTTACCGGTCACTGGGAGCTATGTGGTAGAAGGCGGTTTCGAAGATAGCCTGGTCCTGAGCCAAGTAGGGCTTTAACGGTAATAACCAACACCTTGAATTGCGCCCGGAGACCAATAGGGAGCCAGTGCAGCTCGCGGAGAATTGGTGTAATGTGAGTGTATCTAGGTGCACTCACTATAACTTGCGTGGCTGCATTCTGGACCAACTGTAGTCTCCGAACACTTTTCAAGGGTAGCTTCTTGCATAGCTTCTTCTCTGGTAAATATTGTACTATTAACTAGAGCTTACAAAACATTTACTAGACCAATTCTTGAATACAGCTCATCTGTCTGGAACCCGCACTGCATATCGGACATAAATACAATTGAGAGAGTCCAGAGATATTTTACGAGAAGAGTCCTCCATTCCTCTAACCGCAAGTCCTTCTTTTCATTACACTAGAGATACCCAGTTCCTGCAACCGTTCTTCATATGTTTTAGCTTCCGGTCCCCTCATCATCTTTGTTGCTCTTCTCTGCACTCTTTCTAGAGTCTCCACATCTTTTTTACATTGTGGTGGCCAAAACTGAATGCAGTATTCGAAGTGTGGCCTTACCAAAGCATTATAAAGTGGTATTAACATTTCACGTGATCTTGATTCTATTCCCTCTGTTTATGCAGCCTAGAACTGTGTTGGCTTTTTTGGCAGCTGCTGCACACGGCTGGCTCATATTTAAATGTTGTCCACTAGGACTCCAAGATCCCTCTCACAGTTACTACTATTGAGCAAGGTACCACATGAATAAAGCAAGGATTTCAAAACCTTTGCTATCACAGAACTCACCATTTTTAAAAAAAGAGCCTTGGTAGTACAGTGGTCTAAGGCACCCTGTTATTAAGCTGGTTATTAAGACCAGCTGCCTGTAATTACTGCAGGTTTGAATCTCGCCAAGGCTCAAGGTTGACTCAGCCTTCCATCCTTTCTAAGGTAGGTAAATTGAGGACCCAGTTGTGGGGGCAATAAACTGACGTTGTATAAATATACAAAAGGATGAAGGCTATTGCTGAGCACATTGTAAGCCGCCCTGAGTCTCCGGAGAAGGGCGGCATATAAATCAAATTAAAAAAAAAAATTTATATGATGACAGCGGATTATAAACAGAGCATGGGTAAAACCCACGCAGTGATCAGAACAACTGGCTATAAAAACCTTGCGGTTGCAAAATCTTTGTACCTTTCCTGGGGAAGGAAAATCACTGAACTTAATCCTATCTCTGAGTGCCGCTTCGCAGAACTGCCTTCTCGGATAAAATCTGCAGGTAAACAAAGAAAGTTTCTAAAAGGAACCCAATATATATATTTTTTGTAGCTCCAGACGCGCCTTACACTCATTGGAAGCAAACTGTATTTTACCTGGAGGATTATCTAACTGTCCGAAGAGGGGAAGAAATCTATGGAACCATTTCCATGAAACCAAATGAAAAAAATGAGGTAAGTTAGATTGGTATATATCCAAGATGGCAAACCTATGGCATGTGTGCCGGAAGTGGCACACAGAGCCATCTCTCTGGGCATGCCAGCCATTGCCTGTTGCTCTTCCGGTTTCCAGTGTGCAGATGTATGCTGGCTGGTGTGAGAGAGGGCCGGAAACCAAAAGAGCAACTCTCTGGCACGCATGCGCACACGGGGAAGCTGAGCTTCCGGTTTCCGGAGCTCCCGTGTGTGAGCGCCAGGCTGCTGCTCTTTCAGGCTTTTGAGCTCATGTGCTAAAATAAGTCCCTCCCCCAAAAATAAGCCCTTCCCCAAAATAAACCCTCCCCAAAAATATTTAACCGCATGTGCAGCTTGTTCCCGCCATTTCCTCTGGTAAGAGTTAGAGAGACAGAGCTGGAAATCAGGTAAGATGGCAAGAGGAGCCCCACGCACCCGAAAATAATAGGACCTCCCTGAAAATAAGGCCAAGCGCTTATTTTGGGATTCACAAAAATATAAGACAAGGTCTTATTTTGGGGGGAAAATGGTATATATGAATGTTGGCATCCAGGTTGGGTAGCTGGTTTCAGGGACAGGGTTTGAGAGGCATTTTTGTCAAACGAGTTAGTGGATTAAAAATTACAGCCTGATCTTAAAGAATCACGTTTTATAGCTTAGGCATTTTATTTATTTATTCATCTCCCGCCTTTAAGAAACATGGTGGCTCAGCGGCTAAGACGCTGAGCTTGTCGATCGAAAGGTTGGCAATTCAGTGGTTCGAATCCCTAGTGCCGCGTAACGGGGTGAGCTCCCGTTACTTGTCCCAGCTTCTGCCAACCTAGCAGTTCGGAAGCACATAAAAAATGCAGGTAGAAAAATAGGGACCATCTTTGGGGGGAAGATAACAGCGTTTCATGCACCTTTGGCATTGAGTCATGCTGGTCACATGACCACGGAGACATCTCCGGACAGCGCTGGCTCTTCAGCTTTGAAACGGAGATGAGCACCGCCCCCTAGAGTCGGGAATGACTAGCACATATGTGCGAGGGGAACCTTTACATTTACCTTTTATCCCGCCTTTATTATTATTTTTTTTTATAAATAAGCCAAGGTGGCAAAAATACCCAAGACACATTCCTCCTTTTATTTTCCCTGCAACAAACAACCTGTGAGGTGAGTTGGGCTGAGTGACTGACTGAAGATCATTCAACTGGCTTTCATGGATAAGATGGGAGTAGATCTCCTTTGTCTTCAGGTGATCGGCCCAAACTCCTCCGGTTGGCTTTTACGGCTAAGATGGAACGAGAAATCACTCACTGTCGCCTGGTGATCAGCCCAAAGTCACCCAGGCCAACAGAAATACAGGTAGTCCTCGATTTATGACCACAACTGAGCCTAAAGTTCCATTGCTAAGTGAAACATTGATTATGTGAGTTTTGCCCCATTTTACGACTTTTCCAGCCACATTTGTTAAGTCAATCACTGCCGTTTTTAAGTTAGTAACACGGACGTTAAGTGAATCTGGCTTCCCCAATGACTTGGTTCGTGAGAATTTTGCAAAAGGGGCTCGCATGACCTGGGACACTGCGACCGTCATAAATATGAAACTGGGGTCAAGCATCCAAACGTAAATCACAGGGGGATGCTGCAACAGTCGTCCGTGCGAAAAACGGTCATACGTCACTTTTTTTCAGTGCCGTTGTAACTTTGAACGGTCCCTAAACAAACTGTTGTAAGTCGAGGACTACCTGGAGTCTAAGATACAGCTAGTCTCACTTGGCATTTGGGAAATCTTTGGGTCTTTGGTTTGACCGATGATTGCTCCTCACTGAAGTAAGCTTGCATTGAGTAAATGAGACGCATTACAGCAGAGTTCCCCAACTCTTTCCAGGTTGGTGGTCCAGAGTGGGGGGAGGAGGGGAATAGGGGATGGTTTTGTGGGAGGGGTAGGTGCATGCGCATGAGCACCCATTACTTGTGGGATTAAGTCCACAAGCATCCATAATGGGCTGCGAGTAACTGCGCTGGTGAGGTTGTGAGCGCCTGCGACATTTCTGCACGCACTTACCAGCTACTCACGCGGCCCGGTGGCCGATAGGACACAGCCCACAGGTTGGGGACCCCCTGCATTAGCGAGTTCTTTTCCAAACACACTGTCTGTCAGGGTTCCAAGTAATACACCCATAGCAAACAGAACTCCGAGGCAGGTGGGTTCCTCAAAGAAAAGTTTTACTGGACATATCATATTGGCACAGGCTGGTGAAAACCGACTCTGAATGTTCCCGCAGTTTTCACCTTAACTAAAAGTTTTTCCCCTTCCCAAACAATCAGTCACATGGTCCAATCAAGGTGCCATCCGGTTGCCTGGTAACGTCACTCCTCCTCCCTCCGGCCATCTGTGGGAATGTCCTTGGTTCCCAGGAGAATGTATTTTGTTTCGGCTACAAAACCCCAGTTTTTTCTATTCCCCCCTCCCTATCCTTCAGCTCCAGTGTGGCACTGAAGCTTCCAACATGGCTCTGACCAGGTCAGCTTCAGGGTTGACCTCTTCTCTTGGCCTCCTCTCTGGTGCTTAATTTGGTTGGAAAAGGAGGCCTTCTCTCTGTAATAATTTGCTTTGAGACAGGGGTGGGTTCTAAATTTTTTTACTACCAGTTCTGTGGGCGTGGCTTATTTTGTGGGTGTGGCTTGGAGGTCATGTGGCTAGGTGGGTGTGGCTAGCTGGTCAGAGTCATTTCTGGAAGGTCCTCGCACTTATGACCAGTCCTCGCACTTATGACCCGACTCATTTGTTTGCTTTTAACACTGATCAGCTGTAGGGCGGCCCTTTGAAGCCCTGCGGCAAGAGTTTAAACAGTTTTTTTCCCTCTAGTCATCAGCTGGGACTCAGGAGGCAGCAATAGATTGGGGGTGGGACCAAATAAAAGGTAAGAATAACGGGGGGGGGGGGGGGTGGGAGGGCAGGGGGGGGGAGAACTGGTTCGGTGACGTCATATCGTCACCGCTACTGGCTCGGCCGAACCGACCGAACCGGGAGGAACTCGCCACTGCTTTGAGATTTTGGGAAAGAGAACAGGTCACAAGTGTTTGAGAAGACTCTTGTGAGGCCATTGGATCCCAAGGAGATCTCATCAGTCGATCCTAAAGGAAACCAACCCTTTACTGTTTATTGGGAAGGACAGATCCTGTAGCTGAAGCTCAAATACAGGAAGTCCTCGACTTACAACAGTGCATTTAGTGATCGTTCAGTTACAACGGCACTGAAAAAAGCGAATTAGGATTACTTTTCACATTCATGATTGCTGCAGCATCTCCATGCTCAGCAACATTCAGGGCCCCGGCCACTGACTCTGATTTATGACGGTTGCAATGTCCTGGAATTGCAGGATCCCCTTTGGCGACCTCCTGACAAAGCATCGTCCATGAGGAAGCCAGATTCACTTAACAACTGGGTCACTAACCTAACTACTGCAGTGATTCACTAAACAACTGTGGCAAGGAAGGCCTTAAAATAGGGCAAAATTCACTTAACAAATGACTTGCTTAGCCAGGAGAAGTTTGGGGCTCAATTGTGGGCATTAAGGATGGGTGAAATGCTCCCGGTTCGGACCGGATCACCCGATCCGGTAGCGATGGAGGTGGTGGTTCGGAGAATCCCATGCCCAGCTGAGCCGCGTGATCATCAGAGGCTTTTTTTTTCTTTTAAATGCCTCTGACGATCCAAGCTGAGTTGCCTGATTGTCAAGCTGAGTTTGACAATCCAAGCTGACGATCCAAGACGATACCTGACGATCCAAGCTGATCAGCAGAGGCTTTTTTTCTTTTAAAAGCTTCTGATGATCCAAGCTGAGTTGCCTGATCGTCAGAGGCTTTTTTTCTTTTAAAAGCCTCTGATGATCCAAGCTGAGTTGCCTGATCGTCAAGCTGAGTTTGACAATCCAAGCTGATGATCCAAGACGATGCCTGACGATCCAAGCTGATCAGCAGAGGCTTTTTTACTTTTAAAAGCCTCTGATGATCCAAACTGAGTTGCCTGATCGTCAGAGGCATTTAAAAGAAAAAAAGTGTCTTGACGATCAGGCAAGCTCAGCTGGAATCGTCACGAGCCTTTTGAAAAAAATGGTTTTTAAAAGTAAAAAAAAAAAATTGGCCATGCCCACCCAGTCACATTACCCACCCCCCACCAAGCCACACCCACAGAACCGGTAGTAACAAATTTTAGAATTCATCACTGGTGTTAAGTCGAGGGCTACCTGGACTTTGGCCACTTAATGAGGACTCCTTGGAGAAGACCCTGATGCTGGGAAAGAGGGAAGGTCAAAGGAGAAGGGGAGGGCAATGTTGGTTACATTGGTACATTGATACGATGAACATGAGTTTGGACGAATGGACAGGGGGACGGCAGTGGTGGGATTCAAATAATTTAACAACCGGTTCGCCCAGGATCAGGTGGCTGCCGTGGGAGACGTGGGCCATCCCCGTCCTCCAGCTCCACCGCACATGTGGGACGAACCTACCGCGATGGCTACCCTGACCCGGGGCGAACTGGTTGATAATTACACCCCCCCACACACACACACTATCAAAGTGGATCCTGGGCACTGCGCTGCAATGGAGAAATGGCTGGCATGAGGGAAGGAGAAGGAACAGGGAGAAGACAGAGGGAAAGCTGCCTTCTCCTTTCCTTGTGTTACCTGCTCCGTTCTCTGTTTCTCCATTGCAGCGCAGCATCCAGGATCCACTTTGATAGTGGGGGGGGGGGAGGTAATTTAACAACCGGTTCGTGCGAACCAGTGTGAACCGTGTGACTCCCATCACTGGACAGGACCATGGGGTCGGGGAGTCAGGCAGAACTTAGTGCTAAATAACAGCGACCGGTCATAAGAGAAGGATGGCCTGGGCTGACTTTCTCTTGCAGTAAGACCCAAGAAGGGACACAATGGCTCAGTGGCTAAGACGCTGAGCTTGTCGATCGACCAGTCGGCAGTTCAGCGGTTCGAATCTCTAGTGCTGCGTAACGGGGGTAAGCTCCTGTTACTTGTCCCAGTTTCTGCCAACCTAGCAGTTCGAAAGCACGTAAAAAATGCAAGTAGAAAAATAGGGACCACCTTTGGTGGGAAGGTAACAGCATTCCGTGCGCCTTTGGCGTTGAGTCATGCCGGCCACATGACCACGGAGACGTCTTCGGACAGCGCTGGCTCTTCGGGTTTGAAACGGAGATGAGCACCGCCCCCTAGAGTCGGGAACGACTAGCACATGTGTGCGAGGGGAACCTTTTACTGTTACCTTTTAAGACCCAAGATGAAGCATGAGTTCCCATCGCACTGACCTGGCATAAAGCTGGAGAACATCAGCATGGTGGGCCAACGCAAGCCATCTGAGGCATTGAGCAAACCCTGAAAAATTGTCACTGGAAACCAACATTTAAATCCATCCAGAAACACACACACACACCCATCCTCACCCCGGTGGCAGGACACCATCTGTTCTCGCTAAAGGGAACGTTTCTGACTTTCCTCGAGTGTAAAAGAACTCTCTCTGTTGGCCAAGGCTTTTTTTCCATTGTGCCTACAACATTGTTGACTTGATGTCAACAACTTGGCTCTCTTAAGTGCTCCGGCTGCCTCACGGATCAGCCCCGGAAAACATTTGGTCTTTTATCACAACGAGGGGGGGGTCAGCTTAAAGCCGGGAAGGCCGTGCATTTGATCTAAGGGTGCCAATCAAATACAGCTTGCTCTAATTCCCTGTAAATTGTCCCCCTCCCACACACCCACACCCACGCACCCTGGCTGCAAGGTTGCATCGAGGGAGCTCTTTCAAACTTTGGAGCGTGGTGTGTCATTTTGAAATCGGAGGGAGTCTCTTGAATGGCAAGTTCTTTCTTTTCTTTCTTTTCTTTTCTTTCTTTTTATATGCCGCCCTTCTCCGGAGACTCAGGGCGGCTTACAAGGCGTTAAGCAATAGCCTTCATTCTTTTGTATATTTATACAAAGTCAGCTTATTGCCCCCCACAAACCGGGTCCTCATTTTACCCACCTTAGAAAGGATGGAAGGCTGAGTCGGCCTTGAGCCTGGTGAGAATTGAACTTGTAGTAATTGCAGGCAGCTGGATGTTAAATGTTGCCTTAGTAGGAGGCATTAGCCTCCTACGCCACTCAGGCTCCTGTTGGGAGGGTTGTTGTTTTTTGTGAACTGCTTCAGGTTGGGGACTCCCATCCAGGGGTGGGATTGAAATATTCCTGCACCACGGTGGGTGGGGGGCATTCACCCTCCCCAGGCTCCGGAGGCTTTCCTCGTGCCTCCAGGAGGGCAAAAACAACCTCCCCTGGGCACCGGAGGCCCTCTGGAGGCCGGAAACGGGCACGTTTTTGGACTTCCGGTAGGCCCATTTTTGAACCTCCACAGGCTCCGGTGGCTTTCCTCGTGCCTCCAGGAGGGCAAAAACAACCTCCCCCGGGGACCGGAGGCCCTCTGGAGGCCGGAAACGGGCACATTTTCGGACTTCCGGTAGGCCCATTTTTCATCCTCCACAGGCTCCGGAGGCTTTCCTCATGCCTCCAGGAGGGCAAAAACAACCTCCCCCGGGGATTGGAGGCCCTCTGGAGGCCGGAAACGGGCACATTTTCGGACTTCCGGTAGGCCCATTTTTCATCCTCCACAGGCTCCGGAGGCTTTCCTCATGCCTCCAGGAGGGCAAAAACAGCCTTCCCTGGGCTCTGGAAATGGGCCCATTTCTGGACTTCCGGTAGGCCCATTTTTTTGTCCTCCCAGGGCCTCCACGCGTGCCCTGCACTTACCTGGCATCCAAAACGGGCCGTGTGGAGACTCCTGGGAGGGGCAGGGTGGGTGGGCAGGGTCAGCCAGTCCTTGGAACAACTGGTTTGGCGAACCAGATTGAAATTAACATCCGGTTCGCCCGAAGTGTTCCAAACCGGCTGAATCCCACTCCTGCTCCCATCAACTAACACAACTCTTCCGGAGTGTGCAATTTGAACAATTGTTCTCTTGTTCCGGAAAGTTTATTTAGGGAGCATCTGGGCACCTTTCCCAAGTTGAATGGGGGTGGGGTGGGGGTGCAGCCGTGGGCAGAACCACAATCCCAATTTGCGATGAAGTGGGGGGAAAGCACAGCCGTTCCATGCAAGGGAGAAACCGAAAGTATTGGCACTTTTTGAAATCTTCCCCGCACCCTGCCTCAATGGAAGTGGTTGAAAGGACAAGGCAGACTGATCAGAAAGGTCTGCAGTTTGGCGGTTCGAATCCCTAGTACAGGTCTCCTGCGTGAGCAGGGGGTTGGACTAGATGACCTCCAAGGTCCCTTCCAACTCCTGTTACTGTTATTATTATGTTCCTGATCCACCATTTCCTCCACACAGGGACCACGGAGGAAGAGGGTGCTTCCTCTTGCAGGAAAATGGGAGAAATAAGAGTCAGCGGAGAAGCCAAAGTCTCATTTAATGACCACAAGTCTGATTCGTTGGTACAGGTAGTCCTCGGCTTACGATCGCAGCTGAGCCCAACATCTACGTTGTTAAATGAGACATTCGTTCAGGGAGTTTTGCCCCCTTTTACGATTTTTCTTGCCCCAATTGTTTTAACCGAATCACTGCAGTTAAGTTATTAACGTGGTTGTTAAGTGAATCCAGTTTCCCTCATTGACTTTGCTTGTCGGACGGTCATAAAAGGGGATCACATGAACCCGGGACGCTGCGACCGTCATAAGCATGAGCCAGTTGCCAAGCGTTTGAATTTTGATCACGTGATCGTGGGGATATTGCAATGGTTGTAAGTGTGAAACAAACCAGTCGTAAATCATTTTTTTAAAGTGCCGTTGTAACTTTGAACGGTCCTTAAACGAACTGATGTAACTCAAGGACTACCCAAAACACTGCAACATTCATAAATATGAATCCGTTGCCGAGGATTTGAATTTTGATCATGTGACCGTGGGGATGCGGCGATGGTCGTAAGTGTGAAAAATAGTCCTAAGTCACTTTTTTTCTGGTGCCGTTGTAACTTTGAATGGTCACTAAATGAACTGTTGTAAGTGTACTTGCAAAATCCACACAACCACTAGAGGAGAGCCAAGACACACAGAAAATGGTCTCTGCTGCCATCTGGTGGCTGCCTGTAGTTTTGCAGCCGAATCTTAGTTCAGGGGTGTCAAACTCTATTTCATCGAGGGCCACATCAAGACTGTGGTTGACCTCGGGGGGGGGGGGCTGGCTAGGCCTGGCCGACTTGGTGGGTGTGACCTTATTTTCGGGGAAACACGGTAAATGTATCTGGCTTCCCCATGAACTTTGCTTGTCAGATGGTTGCAAGAGGGGATCGTGGGACCCCGGGGTAATGCATCCGTCGTAAATATGAATCAGTTGCGAAGCATCTGAATTTGGATCGTGGGACCCTGGGGAGGCTGTGACAGTCCTAACTGCGAAAAATGGTCTTAAGCAGAGGTGGTATTCAGCTGGTTCGGACTGGTTCACCTGAACCAGTAGCGGAAACTGTGTGTGGGCCTGCCCACCCACCCCTATGCCATCCCATTTAGGCATGTTTTTGACACTGGGCACATGCGCGGAAGGCACGTGCACCAGCAAAGCACTGTTGTGGCCCATCAGCGGCCTGTACGGCTTTTAGCTGATTCTGACAGCGAGGAGGCTGGTGTGGTGCTCCGCCAGCAGCCTGTGTAGCTGGCACTCGAGTCAGCCAATGAGGAGGCTGGAGAAGATGTGGTGCCAGAGGCGGGGATTCAGCCAGGGCCTTCAGAACCTCCAGAAGCTCCTTTAAGTGAAGAGGATGAAGAGGAGGAGCCTCTTCTCGATGCACGGGGACGCAGAGCTGCCAAAAGACAGGAGTAGCTCCTCAGGAGGAGGTCTCCTTGAGAGTAAGGCTTGGGGCTAATTGGCCACTCCCTTAGCCTATTTAAGGAGGAACACCGACTGAAGCAAATTGTAGGGAACAACTTTAGTTCATTCTCCTTCGCGTCTGGATTCTCTGCAAAATTGCTTCTGGGCTTTCTGGCAACGTTAGTAAGATTATGATTACTTTATCTTTGGTTTCTTGTAGGCTGTTAAGAAAGCTTATTAACAGTCTTTGTTTGGAAAAGAGTGAGTTATTTTAGTAAATTTAAGTTTTGTATAGACTTTGTGTGTGCTGTGTTCTTTGGGGTCCATAGCTGGGGCAGAACAAGCACATGCATGGAATGCCAGGCGCATGCGTGTGGACGGGGCTGTCAGAGTGGCATTTAATCCCATTCTGTTTTTGGGTAATTGCACCTTGATTAGAGAATGGATCATGACCTTTCCTTGAAGTATACTTTAAGAAAATAAAACCGAGATATATTCTAATAAACACATTTTATTATAAAGAAGTAAAAAACATCTTACTAGCTAATTAATTACATCTTGGCAAAGCTTTCCCGGCTACTTCTCTTGGCCGGAGAACAAAAGAAAATTTTGAGAAGAAGAAAAGAATGTAGACATGCGCAGTAGTTACGGATAAGAACTTGGCAAGTTACGGTAAGTCTGAAAGTTCAAAAATAAGAGCTCATCTGGTAAATACAAAACGCAGTGACAGGGGCGCATGCTAGCGAACCGGTAAGGAAAGTAAGTGAATACCACGCTTGGTCGTAAGTTATCTTTTTTCAGTGCCGTCATAACTCGTAACTAAAGCAGTCACTAAGCGAAGTGTCGTAAGTGGAGGATCTACCGAATGTGCAGTGTTACCCGCGGGCCTTCTCTCGTTCGTAGCATCTGATCTCTATGTTCTTTGCAGCGTGACCTGGACTTCACGGTGGAGTTGGATTTTAAAGGGCAGCTTTGCGAAACCTCCGTATCTAATGACTATAGGATGCGCTAACGAGCAGCTGCCTTCGAAACCACAAAAAGGAGAAGTGCGGTTCTGGATTTTGACCCAAAATAAATGCGGTTCTGGATTTGACAGCATTCGGAGGGGTGAGCTTTATCAGTAGCAAAACTCTCGCCGCCCGGACGTTTTCTCTGGATCTGGAATTTTCTCATCTCCTCACCCTGCCAAGACCGTCCAAGGAGTTGCACAACTTTACTTTAAAGGATTGTGTATACATATCACTTTTACAGGCACCCTGGTATTGTGCCGCCTTGTATCCCGACACCTTTAAGGGGGCAACCAAATTGAGAAAACCGGTACCATCTTGTTAGTTTTACCATTTCTTTTTTCGTTTTGTTTTTAAAAAACAAACCTGCGTACAAATAATATTCATGTACTTGTATTATATATTTTTTTTTGCAAGCTTTCGTGGCTCTTTTTTTTAAAAATACGGCCCTGGGGATACGACCAATTCCTAAATTTGTCTTAGGAAATGGCCTCCTCTTTTACCTCCTACAGGTAGTCCTTGAATTTAGCAGCACAATTGAGCCCAGAATTCCTGTTGCTAAGTGAGACGTTTGTTCGGTGCCCTGGTTCAATTAGTAATCTGGTCGTTAAATGAATCTGGCTTCCCCCATGGACACTGCTTGCCCGAAGGTCGCAAAAGGGGGTCACATGACCCCGGGATATTGCAACCGTCATAAATACGAGTCAGTTGCCAAGTATTGTCTGAATTTTGATTGTATGACCATGGGGATGCTCCAACGGTCGTAAGTGTGAAAAATGGGACACGAGTCACTTTTTTTCAGTGGCGTTGTAACTTCGGTCACTAAATGAACTGTTGTTAAGCCGAGGACTACCTGTATTTAATTGTGACACTCGATGGAATTGCCAAAACGGAAGTGTGGAGTTTCATTATTTTGGGGCAGGACGTAAAATATGGTGACGTACCCTCCCAAAATAAGCTTAACACGCCTTTAAAGAAAATCTTGACATCCCCCTCCTCAAAACAAAAGAGAAAAAGAAGACAACACACACACAGCAGATCCAGTGTGACCTGAAGTTGTGGGTCTCTGGCACCACAATGACACCCGCTTTGGATACCGCAGGATCTCCAGTCTGTTTCGGAACAAATACGAAAGGGAGGATGCAAACAGAAAAATAAAATTGGGAAGTCTTTGGTGCTCTCTACGCTTGGTCATTCATTTTCAGATGTTCGGGTTACCTGACCAGGTAACGTTTTCAGTGCTAGAGAATAAAGTTTCTTCTTGCAATAGCCCGTCTCGTTTTAAATGAGAAGTCTTTTGGAATTTGGTGGGGTTTTCTCTCATTTACATCTGTTCAAAACGGAGCAGAATGCAAGCCTAAAACACATTTCAACAGTCCTCAGGAACGTGTGTGTGTTCAGGGGTGGAAATGCTCCCGGTTCGGACCGGATCGCCCGATCCGGTAGCGATGGAGGTGGGTGGTTTGGAGAACCGGTAGCAAAAATCCCTGCCCCCCACCCCCGCATGCCCAGCTAAGCCGCATAATCATCAGAGGTTTTTTTTTTTACTTTTAAAAGCATTTTTTCTATAACCTCTTCAGCCGAAAAAATGCTTTTAAAAGTAAAAAAAAAAGCCTCTGATGATGGCGCGGCTTAGCTGGGATCGTCAAAGGCTTTTAAAAGCATTTTTTTTACAACCTCTTCAGAGGTTGTAGAAAAAATGCTTTTAAAAGCCTCTGACGATCCCAGCTGAGTTGCCTGATCGGCAGAGGCATTTAAAAGAAAAAAAAGCCTCTGCCGATCAGGCAACTCAGCTGGGATCGTCAGAGGCTTTTAAAAGCATTTTTTTTTCAATCTCTTTGCCGAAGAGGTTGTAGAAAAAATGGTTTTAAAAGTAAAAAAAAAAAATTGGCCATGCCCACCCAGTCACATTACCCCCCGCCCACCACCAAGCCACGCCCACAGAACCGGTAGTAACAAATTTTAGATTTCACCACTGGCTGCTGCAGGTTCGGGGGAACCTCTAGCGAAGATTCTGTGCCGTTCGGAGAACCCCCAATTCCCACTCCTGGCTGGCCCCGCCCCCTCGTCCAGGAATCCCCACACGGCCCATGATGGCCCAAAAGGCAACTGGGCTTTCTTCGTTTTTGCCTGAAGACATTTCGATTTAGGGTTAGAGTTGGATTTCTCATCCAAGAAGCGATAGAACCGAAGAAGCTCCTTGGAGGAGAAGCGAAAGGTCTAAATGAAAAATCCAAAAGTCCAGTTGATTTTTTAGAGAAAAGCACTTTTGGGATAATGATGCTTTTGCCTTCCCAAAAGCAACGACATAAACCCACAACCTCTCGTCTCCTTCCCACAGGGGACAAAAGACGGAGACAGACAGGGCGGATGCATTGACAAGCCGTCGTTCAGCAGGACAGACATTCCCCCCTTCCCGACGCTTCGCGACTGAGAAATCAGCTGTGCCGCAGCTCTATATAGGTAGTCCTCAACTTATGACCATTCATTCAGCAACCCAAGGCTTCCCCCCCACCCTTCCGAGGCACCCCATACTCCACATAACGACTGCAAGGGTGAGAGCTGGAGTTACATGGGTGCCTCGTTTAACAACAGCAACAACTTAAAAGGACTGTAATTCTGGGCTCCGTTGTGGTCGTAAGTTGAGGTACCTGCACAGGTAGTCCTCGGCTTACGACCGCAACCGAGCCCAACATTTCTGTTGCCAAGTGAGACATTAAGTTAAGGGAGTTTTGCCCTCCCCTCTTTTACGACCTTTCTCGCCACAGTTAAGTCCCACGGTTGTTAAGTGAATCATTGCTTGTCAGAAGGTCGCAAAAAAGGACATTCCCATGACTTTGGGACGCTGCAACCGTCATAAATACGAATCAGTTGCCAAGCCTGATCAAGGGACCATGGAGGGGGAGGGGGAAATGGTGCAACCGGTCGTAAGTGTGAAAAACGGTCCCAACTTAGTCACTTGTCACAGCGATGTGCTAACTTTGGATGGTCACTAAATGAATTGCTGTAAATTGAGGACTATTTCCAATCTCACGGAGGCTCCGGCCCGGGGAGGCTCCGCTTTGCGTCCCCCCGCGCCGGCAAAGAGGAGCAGCGGCGACTGAAGCAGCCGTGAGGGGAAAAAAAACAATCCAGCAAGGCAGCCTGGCCCCGCCCCTTTCTCCCTGGCGGCCCCGCCCCTCTCTCCCTAACCGCCCCGCCCTTCTCTCCCTGGCCGCCCGGCCATTGGCCGCCCCGCCCACGTGACCGCAGCGAGCTTGCCGGCGCGAAATTCAAACCGACCAGCGGAGCCGCATCGCTCGCTCGCTCGCTCGCTCGCTCGCCCGCCCGGCCGCTCCGGCTTCGCCGCGCAGCCCGTTGGAAGGGCGGCCGGTAAGAACCTCCGCCCGGGTGGGGAGGGAGGAAGGAAGGAAGGAAGGAGCCGTTGTGGAACCCTAAGCCCGGGATCGAGGCTCTTTCCCCGGGGAAGCCCAGGGTGACTCCCCCTCTCTCCCACGCCCCCAGGCACCAGATCTCGTGGGATCACCGGTGGGTTCCCCCGAGGAATCGGGATCCGCTTTCCTTGTGTGTGTGTGTGTGTGTGTGTGTGTGTGTGTGTGTGTGTGTCCCTCCCCCCGGTTTCCCCATCGCAGATCGTGGATCTGATCCACTTTCCTTGTGTGTGTGTGTGTGTGTCCCTCCCTCCCCGGGTTTCCCCATCGCAGATCTTGGATCTGATCCACTTTCCTTGTGTGTGTGTGTGTGTGTTCCTCCCCGGGTTTCCCTATCTAAGATGTGGATCTGATCCACTTTCCTTGTGTGTGTGTGTGTGTGTGTGTTCCTCCCCGGGTTTCCCTATCGCAGATCGTGGATCTGATCCACTTTCCTTGTGTGTGTGAGTGTGTGTGTGTGTGTCCCTCCCCGGGTTTCCCTATCTAAGATGTGGATCTGATCCACTTTCCTTGTGTGTGTGTGTGTGTGTGTGTGTGTGTGTGTTGTGTGTGTGTGTGTGTGTGTGTGTGTGTGTCCCTCCCCGGGTTTCCCCATCGCAGATCGTGGATCTGAAAGAGGATCGGCTGCTGCCTCTTTTGCAGGATCCGTTCTGCCCTCCCGATGAGGATCCCTCGGGCTCTCCAGCATGAAGAGCCGCTCTCATCAGCCGCTGATCCTGAAGAAGAGGAAGACCTCTCGGCCGGGCAGCCCTGCGGAGACGGACGAAGAAGCCAGGAGCCCAGTTGGCCGGATCAAGCAGGAGCAGCAAGGGATCTCCCGCGATCTCCAAGGGATCCCGGGCTCTCCCATCCAGACGGCTGTAATAGGTGACCGCTTGGCCCCGGTCAACTCTAGTGGGGTCAGCAGAAGCCCTGTCCCAGCAGAAACCCAGCAAAGCGTTCTGGACTTGCTAGCCACTGAACAGTCTCCTAGGAAGGACCCAGGCTTAGTGAGTCTATCCGGTAGCTCTCTTGGCCTGGAGACCAGGCCCTTTCCCAACGTATCCGGATCTGAAGAAGGGACCATCCCTGCAAGCCGTGGGGTCCCCGAGGATGAAAAGCTGGCAGGGATGTGGGCCTGGACCGCCGAAGAGTCGGACTTTTTGGCCTCGCAATCTTTGGGTAGCCAAGAAGAGGACAAAACCAGTAGGTAGACCTTTTCGTTGTGAAGTTTTTGTACGATGGGTGATGAGGAGCCCCAGAAAGGCGTTTTTTGGGGAATACAGTAGTGGCCAAAATTGTGGAGTTCCTTGAGTTTCACTCGCTGATGGTGGCACCACCAGAACTACCAACCTCTGTCTTGAATTTTGGACAATTGGTACTATGTGGTTAATTTTCATGAGGGATTTTATATACAGTAGTGGCCAAAATTGTGGGAACCTTTTGGGAAAAGTGTATTTTTGAGGTTGGATGGCTAATAACACCATTTTTTTTGTGTGTGTGTGAATTTCAAGATAATCCTATTCCACTGCTGGAATGGCCTGGGAATAGCCCAGACCTTCACCCAATTGAAAATCTAGGGAGCCGACTAAAGAAACTTGTTAGTCAGAAGTGACCCAGCAATAAAACCCAGTTAATAGAAGCCATCATTCAATCTTGGTTTCACATTAGAACAGAATTAAAAGACTTGGTTCACTCCAGATGAGGAAGATGTAAGGCCGTAATTCATGCTAAAGGTTACCCCAACTAAGTATGAAGTGACATGGTGATCATTTTTGTATATCGTTTTTTTCCATGGTGATCATTTTGGTAAATCTTGTTTTTTCTATGGTGATCATTTTTATATATCACGTATTTTCTACGTGTTTGACTTTTCTTCTTTATCCTGTAACTGCTATTCTAATAGCAAATCCTTCATAAAATTTATTGCATTACATTCTTGATTAAATTATCTTTCCATTTATATATAATTCTATGGTACTACTCCCCCAAAAAAGTGGTGTTATTAGCTAGTTTTAGAAAATACACTTTTCCCAAAAGGTTTCCACAATTTTGGCCACTACTGTAGAGAGGTCAGAGTTTAAAAACGGAAGCTCTTTAATCATGGCTATTGGTCGTTCTCGACTTACAACCATTCGTTTAGTGACCGAAGTTACAACAGCATTGAAACAAGTGACTTAAGACTGATTTTCACACTTATGACCATTGAAGCATCCCCATGGTCGCGAGATCAAAATTCAGATGTTTGGCAACCTCCGTATTTATGACGGTTGAAGTCTTCCGGGGTCGTGGGATCCCTTCTTGCGACCAACTGACAAGCAAAGTCAAGAGGAAAACCAGATTTCATTTAACAAGGGCAGAGATTCGCTGCACTGCTGTGGCAAGCAAGTTGGCAGAATGGGACCAAAACTTATTTAACAACGGTCTTGCTCAGCAAGAGAAATTTTGGGGCTCATTCGTAGTCGTAAGTCGAGGACTACCTGTGTAAAACTTTGTGGTGACCGGGATGGAGGGTGCTTGCTGCCTGCTTGGCTTTTCCAAAAACGGAGATGCCATCAAAGCCCTTTCTAAAGATTAACATCAAACAGGGCAGAATTGGGAAGTTACTCAGTGCTGGGGGATAATGGATAGATGGACTGGACTTAAATTTAGTTAGTTTTGTGACAAGTCCAATTTAGCTTTTGATACAACCTGTCCTCTTTCATCCAAAGGCATAGAATAGAGTAGAATAGAATAGAGTGGAATGGAATAGAATAGAATAGAATAGAATAGAATAGAATAGAACAGAACAGAACAGAACAGAACAGAACAGAACAGAACAGAACAGAACAGAAAAAAGAAAATATGGAATAGAATAGAATTTTATTGGCCAAGTGTGATTGGACACACAAAGTATTTATCTTTGGTGCATAAGCTCTCAGTGTACATAAAAAAATACATTCATCAAGAATCATAAGATACAACACTTAGTGATAGTCATAGGATACTAAATAAGCAATCAAAATCATACTAGGAAACCAAATAAAACAATATAATTGTAAAGATATAAGCAATAAGGTTATAGTCATAAATAGAAGCAGATAGGTACTAGGAAGGATGAGAAGAATAATAGTAATGCAATCTTAGTAAATAGTTTGGCAGTGTTGTGGGAATTAGTTCATTAGCAGAGTGATGGCATGTGGGGAAAAAACTAGATCTAAGAAGCTGCATAACATTTGTATGTTCTTCAGAGGTTTTGATGACTTTCCGGTGTGTTTGACATCGGTGTGTTTATGTAGGATGGAGGTTTTTAGGTATGGGAAATATTTTTATCCAATGATGCATTACTATGTATTATTTATTTCAGCAGGAAATCAAACTCTATATAATCATCATTAATCATTTTAGTAGTATGGGAGATGTTAAGCATCCGATGATTCTCAGAGATTACAGGTAGTCCTCGATTTACGACTGAGTCCAGAACGTATGTTGCTAAGTGAGAAATTTGTGAAGTGGGTTTTGCCCCATTTTACGACTCTTCTTGCCACCTTTGTTAAGTGAAATCACTGCAGTTGTTAAATTAGTAACACAGGGGTTGGGGGAATCTGGCTTCCCCATTGACTTTGCTTGTGAGAAGGTCCCAAAAGGGGAATCATATGACCGTCATAAATGCGAATCTTTCCCAAGCATCTGAACGTAAATCACGTGACCATCGGGATGCTGCAACGGTCGTAAGTGTGAACAATGGTCATAAGTCCCTTTTTTTCCAGCGATGGCGTAACTTCGAACGGTCACTAAATGAACTGTTGTAAGTCGAGGACCACCTGTAGGCAGCATTCAGGTATTATCAGTAAGCCCATCTCTGCTATTCTAAATTATTATTAATTATTAATTAATTATTAATTTCTTAGTAAATAAATAATAATTAATTATTAATTTCTTAATTATTATTAAGAAATAATCATGCAATTATCTCACCAAAGTCCAACTTCAATGAGTTAATGTCGTCATACATCACGGAAAAACGTTCTCCTTTTGCGATAATAGAACTGAAGGCAGCGGGAATTTCATTCTACATAATTCGAACCTGCACAGTTAGCAAAAGTGTTGTGTTCTTTTTGGTTTTTTTTTTCTCAATTCTGCAAGAAATAGCCGTCTCTTCTCTTATTCATTATAACGTGCTTTTAGGTAAAGTCTGTTTAAATAGAAATCCCCTGGGAAAGGCCATTTCCTTTCTTAAAATACCAACTAACTTAAAACGATTAATCAGTGGAACAACTTGCCTCCAGAAGTTGTGAGTGCTTCAACACTGGAGGTTTTTAAGAAGATGTTGGACAGCCAATTAGTCATCTTGTAGCAGTTAAAGTTACAAAACATAGTTTTCTATATATTACCTACCCGACCGTAGGATAAACATCCAACACTCGCTGTCAGGAAATTTCTCCTTAGTTCTCAGTTGCTTCTCTCCTTGATTAGTTTCCATCCGTTGCTTCTTGTTCTGCCCTCAGGTGCTTTGGAGAATAGCTGGACTCCCTCTTCTTTGTGGCAGCCCCTGAGATATTGGAACACTGTTATCATGTCTCCCCTAGTCCTTCTTTTCATTAAACTAGACATATCCAGTTCTGTTGTGGCCCGCCAGCGGCCTGCGCGGATCGTGGCTGATCCCGACGAGGAGACTGGTGTGGTGTCGCGCCAGCAGCCTGTGCAGCCGGCGCTCGCGTCGGACAGCGAGGAGGCTGAAGAGGATGTGGTGCCAGAGGCAGAGACTCAGCGTGGGCCTTCAGAACCTCCAGAGGCTCCTTCAAGTGGAGAGAGCGAAGTGGAGGAGCCTCTCCTCAATGCTCGAGCACGCAGGGCTGCCAAAAGGCAGGAGTGGCTACTCAGGAGGAGGAGGTCTCCTCGAGAGTAAGGCTTGAGGATAATTGGCCACTCCCTTAGCCTATTTAAGTCACATGCGGTTAGTAAGTTTCTTGCTGGAAACAACTTGTAATTATCATCAGAGCATTTTTGGAAAAGTCTTACCGTATCTTGTTTTCTGGGCTGGTTGCCAACCTTTGCCGGACTTTGGTTTATTCTTGCTACTTAATAAATTTGATAAGGACCGTTGGTGTGTGTCTATATCCTCGGAAATCCGGAGCTGGGGCAGAACAAGTTCCCGCATCATATGTTTTAGCCTCCAGTTCCCTAATCATCTTTGTTGCTCTTCTCTGCACTCTTTCTAGAGTCTCCACATCTTTTTTTTTACATCGTGGCGACCAAAACTGGATGCCGTATTCCAAGTGTGGCCTTACAAAGGCATTATAAAGTGATATTAACACTTCACACAATCTTGATTCTCTCCCTCTGTTAACGCAGCCTAGGATTGCATTGGCTTTTTTGGCTGCTGCCGCACACGGCTGGCTCGTATTTAAGTGATTGTCCACTTGGACTCCAAGATCCCTCTCACAGTTATGCCCAACCCCTTTCTGCTGAAAGGCTAAATTTCAAGATCCCTCTTGAAGGATCTACACATACAATCTAAAAACTCTGAGTTTGTATCCACGTAGGTAGTGAGGAGGCAGCCAACTCTGGCTTGAACAGCAGCCTGACCAACATCCAGTGGTTGGGGAAGATGACTTCGACCCCGCTGAGCTCCTGTAGTATGAAAAAAGACACGGAGAAGGAAAACCAGACCCCCAAACAGAAGACAATTAAGGTAAGCAAAGGGCCTACATAGCCTTACATATCTAAGCATGACGCTTCTACGAGACTGGAGGTTTCATGGGGCAAACATGCATATGACTCTAGATCAGGGGTCAGCAACCTGCAGCTCTGGAGCCGCATGTGGCTCTTTCACCCCTGTGCTGCAGCTCCCTGTCACTCAAAATATGCATCACAACCGCCAATGTGTGATACCTTCCGGCACGTGATTTATTGAGTTTTTCAACCCCCGGTAGGCCAACCATGGATAAATCCAAGAAAAGAAAAGTTTCGGAAGAAAACAGAACGTTTAATTCAACTATATAGGCTAGTTTTGTGGCTGCTCAATAAATAGTCAGGCATGGGAAGAGTTTTTGTGACTCCCGGTGTTTTCTTTTCTGTGGGAAACGGGTCCAAATGGCTCTTTGAGTGTTTAAGGTTGCCAACCTCTGCTCTAGATGTTTGGGGTGTCAGGTTAATGGCATGAGAAGAACATCTGTTGCCACTTTCTAAAACACCAGCTAAAAAGCCAAGCACAACAGTTGTCTACACAGGTTGTCCTCGACTTACGTCAGTTTGTTTAATGACCATTAAAGTTACAACGGCACTAAAAAAATTGGTTTATGATTTTTTTTCCCCACACTTACAACCGTTGCAATAGCCTCCCAGTGATCAAAATTCAAGCGCTTGGCAACTGACTCGTCTTTATGACGCAATCCCCTTTTGCGACCTTTTGACAAGCAACATCAATGGGGAAGCCAGATTCGTTTAACCACCGTGTTACTCACTTAACAACTGCAGTGATTCCCTGAACAACTGGCAGGAAAGGTGGAAAAATGGGGCACAACTGACTTAACAAATTGGCAGCTGGCTCATATTTATGACGGTCGCAGTGTCCCGCGATCCCCATTTGCGACTGTCTGACAAGTGACATCAATAGGAAGCTGAATTCACTTAACAACGCTGTTACTAACGTAACGACTGCAGTGATGTTGTAAGTCGAGGACTATCTATTAATGCAAAAGTAAAAAGTTGAGACTAATGTCTTCTACTGTGCTAAAAAGACTCGGAAGTCCACGCCTTTTCTCCTCCCTTCTCCTCCTCCTCCTCCTCCTCCTCTTCCCCTTCTCCTCCTCTTCCCCTTCTCCTCTTCTCCTCCTCTCTTCTCTTCCCCTTCTCCTTCTCTTCCTCCTCCTCCTCCCCTCCTCCTCTTCTCCTCCTCCTCCTCCTCCTCCTCTTCTTTTCTTCTCCTTCTCCTCCTCTTCCCCTTCTCCTCCTCTTCTCCTCCTCCTCTCTTCTTCTCTTCCCCTTCTCCTTCTCTTCCTCCTCCTCCTCCCCTCCTCCTCTTTCTCCTTCTTTCCCCCTCCCACTTTCTCCTTTTCCCATTTCCCCTTCCCTAGTTTCCCATTATTTTCATTTTCTTTTGTATTTTATATTCCGATAAACTAATCGAATTTTTTGATACCCAATCACCAATGAATGGAATTCTGAAGAGTGGAGGATTCCCAGAATCATCCTCATGGCTCTTTTCTTTTCTTTCCTTTCCTTTCTCTTTCTTTCTTTCTTTCTTTCTTTCTTTCTTTCTTTCTTTCTTTCTTTCTTTCTTTCTTTCTTTCTTTCTTTCTTTCTTTCTTTCTTTCTTTCTTTCTTTCTTTCTTTCTTTCTAAAAAGATGTTTTTAAGAATAGATTGAAGTGCCATCTGTCCGAAACGGTACAGTATAGCACTTCCTACCTGGAGCAAAGGGGGTTGGACTAGATGACCTCCAAGGTCCCTTCCCGCTCTTGTTAATCCGCTCTCTTCCTACTAATTCCCTGCGGGTTTTCATAAGCCGCCGCAAAGGATCCTCAAGTGAGTCAGGCTTTCAAATACAGTGTATTGTCATCATCTGGCAGGATGACTCAAAATTTCCAATCACCTGAGCATGTCTTCACAAAAGAGCATATCCACCACGTAGGCTGATATCTTTTTAGAAAGTTAAAAGGGTAGATGCAAGACTGCGAATTATGCGTAGAAGAATTGCTCTAAGTGGGAAGGGGTTGAGCTGTTCTTGATCAGGAGAAAGAAAGAAAAAAAATTAATACACATCTGCTTAAGGGCGGGGGGGGGGGGGAATGCAGAAGGGGAGATTTTAAGACGTGCGAAGACAGAGGCAGATGACTATGTTGCACTGAACCTTTTGGACCAGAACGATTTTGATGGCGTTTTCCGTGGTAAAAGTTATCAATGATCTGCAAACTTGAAACTTTATATAGTCCTTGACTCATAACAGTCCAATTGACTCTTTAAAAAAAGCACTTTGGTACTGGCCGGTACCGGAAAATCCCGTATGATGAAAGAACATGTATATGTGGGGCAAACGTCGTGGACGATACGGTGCATGTAATATTTGAATGTAGGCTGTATGAGGAAGTAAGAAAACAATATCTGTCTCCAATTATAAATAAATTTGCCCACTGGAATGTAAGACATAAATTAACATTTCTATTGAAGGCAGACTCTCCTCCCCTGGTAAGGGCTATCACTCGCTATCTTAAAAGGATGACAGCAATACGAACCAGTTACATTGAAAAGAATTTCATTGATTGTAAGAAAAACGAGCTGAGTTAGAGAGGAGCTATCTTATTTGGGTTATCTAGTTTTGGAAATTTAGTTATTGAATTTCTATATTGTTAAATTTTAATGTCATATACCATATATTTTTACACTTATTTCTGTAACTGTTTTATCTTTCCCTTTTTTTTTTTGAAAAGGCCTTCGGGCTATTCAATAAAATACATACATACACTTTGGTACCGTGAAGAATGTTTAATATCTGTTACGGTGGGAGGTAGTTGCCCTAAATGATTTTTTTTTCTTTTGGGAGAATAGAATAGAATAGAATAGAACAGAACAGAACAGAACAGAACAGAACAGAACAGAATTCTTTATTGGCCAAGTGTGATTGGACACACAAGGAATTTGTCTTCGGTGCATACGCTCTCAGTGTACATAAAAAGAAAAGACACACTCGTCAAGAATCATAAAGTACAACCCTTAATGATAGTCATAGGGTAGAAATAAGCAATCGAATCATATTAGGAAACAATCAATATAAATCGTAAAGATACAAGCAACGAAGTGTTTATGACACAGGCCCACGTAGTTGATATTAAATGCAAACCAGTTCCAAAAAAACAAAACAGATTTTATTAAAACAGCTGAGAATTAATTCATTCTCGGCGTATTCTAAATGGAGTGAAAACAAAGTCCTCAAAACACCAGTCTTTCGTTTATCTCTGACCTTGGGATAATTAGGCAAACTGCCAAAGGCTTTTCTTGGCAACAGTTCAGGAACGGAAGAAATAACTACAGCCAAACAAGAAGCAATTCTCTCATTGGTTGTTTTCCGGCAAAGAGGGCTTTATGAGAGGGGCCAGATCTCTTGGCCTTACTCCTGAGTCGTCCTCTCTGCTTTAGCTGCTCCTGCCTTCTGGCAGCTCTTCTCATACGTGCACTAGGAACAGGCTCCTCCTGTTCCTCTGCCTCTCTACTGTCAGCCTCTGGAGGCTCCGAAGTCTGCACATCACTCCCCGATGGCCCTGGCCCCATCTCTGCCTCCGACGCAGAGCCCTCATCCGGGCCTTCCCCAGCCTCCAGGACTGGCCCCTGTTCTTCCTCAGCCTCATCGCTGTCCGACTCCGCTGCCAGCTCCGCAGGCTGCTGGCGGACCACAACACAAAGTTACAGTCATATAGTCATAAGTGGGAGGAGATGGGTGATGGGAACGATGCAAAGATTAATAGTAGTGCAGACTTAGTGAATAGTTTGACAGTGTTGAGGGTATTATTTGTTTAGCAGAGTGATGGCGTTCGGGAAAAAACTGTCCTTGTGTCTAGTTCTGGTGTGCAGTGCTCTATAGCGTCGTTTTGAGGGTAGGAGCTGGAAACGATTGATGTCCAGGAAGTGAGGGATCTGTAAATATTTTCACAGCCCTCATGTCAAATGTCAAAATTCAGCCAGGTTAGTAGATGACATGAGAGCAGTGTTCCAGTATCTCAGGGGCTGCCACAAAGAAGAGGGAGTCAAGCTATTCTCCAAAGCACCTGAAAGCAGGACAAGAAGCAATGGGTGGAAACTAATCAAGGAGAGAAGCAACTTAAAACTAAGAAATTTCCTGACAGAACAATTAATCAGTGGAACAACTTGCCTCCAGAAGTTGTGAATGCTCCAACACGGCAAGTTTTAAAGAAGATGTTGGATAACCATTTATCTGAAGTGGTGTAGGGTTTCCTGCTTAGGCAGGGGGTTGGACTAGAAGCCCTCCAAGGTCCCTTCCAACTCTGTTATTCTATTCCATAAGTCGAGGACTACCTGTATTTATAGAGTTAGGAATTTGCTCATGGAAACTCTGATGAAGATGGTCCTTGACTTAGGACCACTCGCTTAGTAGCCATTCAAAGTTACAACGGCGCTGAAAAAAGAGACTTAGGACTGTTTTTCCACACTTAGGACCACTGTGTCATCCCCATGATCTCGTGATCAAAATTCAAATGCTGGACAACGGGCTCATATTTAGGTTGGTGGCAGGGTCAGGTGACGCCTCTTTTGTGACCGTCTGGGAAGAAAGTCAACAGGGAAGCCAGGTTCACTTAACAACCAGGTTACTAACGTAACAACTGCAGTTGATTCGCTTAGCAACCGTGGCAAGAAAGGTGGTAAAATGGAGCAAAACCTAACAAGTGTCTCTCTTGGCAATAGAAATTTTGGGCTTAATTCCTGTTATCTTCTTCCAGTTTTCCTGAGTGTTAGAGAGGATTTTTGTCCCAAAGGAACATTTTTTTTCAGGCGGTAATTGGAATTCCTTGTTTTTTTTCTTTTTGAAGACGTTTCGCTTCTTCATCCCAGAAGCTTCTTCAGCTCTGACAGGATAGTGGGGGAATGGAAGGATTTATATTCCTTGCAGACAGCTGGTCATTTCCATTCCTTTAGAGCAGGGGTGTCAAACTCAATTTCATTGAGGGTCGTATCGGAGGGCTGGGGGGGGGCTTGGTGGCTGTGGCCAGCTTGACTTCACTCAATGGGTCGGGGGCACCTGTGGTGGCCAAATGCTAAGGCAGGAATTCCCTGAGACTCTCCCTCACTATCATTATAATCTTCCTTCTCTTCTCTTCTCTTCTCTTCTCTTCTCTTCTCTTCTCTTCTCTTCTCTTCTCTTCTCTTCTCTTCTCCTCTTCTCTTCTTTTTCCTTCCCTCTTCATTCTCCTTTCTTCTTCCTTCCCCTCTTTCCTTCTTTTTCCTTCCTGGCTCTCTCCCCATCTTCTTTTCTTTGTCTTTCCTCCTTCCCTTTCTCCTTTCCTGTCCCTTTTTGCATGCTCAAATCCAAAAGGGGAAACGCTTCTCCTTTTGTTTTGTTTTGAGTTTGTTGTGCTAGCCCTCTGCCAGCGAAAACGGCGCCTGCCTCCCCCATTGTGCCCAAAAACGTGGTGCGGGCGGGGTGGGGGTGGCACTTCATTTTCGCTGGCAGAGGCACCGCGGGATGGTCCTTTGCTGTTTCCAGGCGGGCCAGATCTAAACACCCTGCAGGCCTGATCCAGCCAGCGGGACTTGAGTTTGACACCTCTGCTTTAGAGGATTTTCATATGATACTGTTGTGGTCTGCCAGCAGCCTGCGGACCTGGCAGCAGAGTCGGATAGTGATGATGCTGGGGAGGACATTGGGCCAGTCCTGGAGTCTGGGGAAGGCCTGGACGAGGGCTCTGCGTCGGAGGCAGAGATGGGGCCAGAGCCATCTGGGAGCGATGTGCAGACTCCGGAGCCTCCAGAGTCGGACAGCAGAGAGGCAGAGAAACAGGAGGAGCCTGTTTCTAGTCCACGCATGCGAAGAGCTGCCAGAAGGCAAGAGCAACTGAAGCAAAAAGGACAACTCAGGAGTAAGGCCAGGAGATGATTGGTCCCTCCCATAAGACTTAAAAGAGCAGCAACAAGTCGTTGGATTCTTTGTAGAAAAGCAACATTGATTCCAGTGCTTCTTGTCAGCGTCCCTTGAACTTTGTGGGTTTTTTGCCAAGAAAAGCCTTTGGCAGGTTGCCAAAGACATCAAAGGTTGGCGATAAGGCCGGAGGGACTGGTTATGAAGAATTTTGTTTTGGACTAAGCTGAGAATGAATGAATTCTCAGCTGTTTGAATAAAATAAGTTTGTTGAGGTCTGAATTGTGTTTGGTAATCACTACTTGGGCCTTGGTCACAATTTCTTAATTTTGACTTTTGCTTCCATTTTCCAGTCTGAGGGAAGCCCCACAGCCGCCACCTCTGCTTTATGGAAGGAATCTTTTTCCGAACGGCCTCCCTACTCTTACATGGCCATGATCCAGTTCGCCATCAACAGCACGGAGAAGAAGCGCATGATGTTGAAAGATATCTACAGTTGGATTGAAGATCATTTCCCCTATTTCAAACATGTTGCCAAGCCAGGCTGGAAGGTAAAAACATCTTTTGACCTGTATAGAATATATCGGAAAAGACGATGAGTAATTCTTATGAAATATTACCGTGTTTCCCCAAGAATAAGATCCTGTATTTATTTATTTATTTATTTATTTATTTATTTATTTATTTATTTATTTATTTATTTATTTATCTATTTATTTATCTATTTATTTATCTATCTATCTATCTATCTATCTATCTATCTATCTATCTATCTATCTATCTATCTATCAATCAATCAAATTTCTATGCCGCCCTACTCCCGAAGAACTCAGGGCGGTGAACAGCCAAGATAAAATACAGATAATACAAACATTAAAAGTCCATTAAAATTATTAAATATTTTGACCGAAAACAAATTTAGAACACCCAATTTATAAAACAAATTAAACGATTTAAAAATTTAAAAGGGAGAGTTAGGCCAGGCCAGCCTGCTGAAATAAAAATGTTTTGAGAGCACGACGAAACGTGCGCAGATCCGGGATCCTCCGTATCTCCGGGGGGAGCTCGTTCCAGATGGTAGGTGCCCCCACAGAGAAGGCTCTCCCCCTGGGGGCCGCCAGTCGACACTGTTTGGCTGACGGCACCCTGAGAAGCCCCTCTCTATGGGAGCGTACTGGTCGGTGAGAGGCTATTGGTAGCAGAAGGCGATCTCGTAAATACCCCGGTCCGATGCCATGGAGCACTCTAAAGGTGGTAACCAAAACCTTGAAGCGCACCCGGAAGACCACCAGGAGCCAGTGCAGCTCGTGCAGGAGGGGGGTCACATGGGAGCGCCACGCGGCTCCCATAACCACCCGCGCGGCCGCGTTCTGGACCAGCTGGAGCCTCCGGGTGCTCCTCAAGGGGAGCCCCATGTAGAGAGCATTGCAGTAGTCCAGGCAGGAAGTAACGAGAGCATGAGCGACCGTATTTAACAAGTCCCGATCCAGAAAGGGACGCAACTGGCGAATCAACTGGCGAACCTGATGAAAAGTTCCCCTGGCCACAGCCGTCAAGTGCTCTTCCAAAGACAGCCGTGAGTCCAGGAGGACATTTTTTTTTTGAACCCTGAAATAAGCACTTGGCCTTATTTTCAGGGAGGTCTTATCATTTTGGGGCGCGTGGAACAAGACGGGGCTCCTCTTGCCGTCTTACCTGATTTCCAGCTCTGTCTCCCTAATCCTAACCAGAGGAAATGGCGGGGGACCGGCTGCATTTAAATATTTTCGGGGAGGGCTTATTTTTGGGGGAGGGCTTATTTTTGGGGAAACGTGGTATTAAAATGTACAATAGAGGTAGTCCTTGATGTACGACCACAACTGAGCAGACCGATTTTTTTGCTGTTTCCAGGGCGGCTCCACGGGCCAGATCTAAGCACCCCATGGGTCAGATTCGACCCCGGGGCATTGAGTTTGACACCCCTGCTTTAGATAGTGTTTTTCAACTTTGGGAACTTGGAGGATGTGGGGACTTCAGTCTCCCAGAACTCCCCAGCCAGCACAGCAATAGCTAAGTGGGGAATTTTGGGACTCGAAGCTGCCATGGTTGAGAAACACAGCTTTGAGATTTTGCTGCCAATTGTTTTTTTGCAGACCCAGTCTTAGGGATGGTTGGAATAAACCTCCTGCTTGGGGACCACTAGCGGGGGGTGGTGGTGGTGGTGGTAAACCTTTCCGAAATCAGAACAGAAATGAATAAATAAAACATGGAAATCTTGCTTGCGTCATCCTGAATAATTCACCGGCGAGAGATGATTCTCGCGGCGTTACGGGCCAGTAAACGATCCAGATGGCATCCCTGCCTCCGAGAACCTGTAAAAATCTCCCATTTCGAGATAGTGCCACTTTGGGAGCTGCTAACGTCATATCTTCGTCCTCCGGTGTAAGATTTGCCGTCGGCTGTCTCCCCGAGCCTCACTATATCCTTTTGTAGCAGACAGGATTGGCCAATCTCCGTTCAACGGGAAAATGAATAAAAACCTGACAGCATAAATATTTATTCCCCGGGCGCTTCAATTTTCAACAGACTCTGATCTCAAGATGGCTGTTGGGGAAGAAAAATCCCTTCAAAGGCCTAAACAGTTTTGCAAAAACTGCTGAACAGGAAATTCGTTTAGAAGGTCCAACTGAATGGTGGTATTTATCCGGTTCGGGCAAACCGGTAACGGTGGCTGCGGGAGGCTCTGCCCTTCCGCCCGGATGTCATCACGCCCCGTTTTTGATGCTCTGTGCGTGCGCGCACGCGCTCACATGTGCAAACCGATAGGGAAGAGAAGGAGGTTGAACCCTTGGTCCAACCTCCTTCCTGACGCATTCTGTCCACCGATTAATTCGACAAAAAAAAGATCCACCTCGGCAGCTTTGATGCTGGATCGCTTACAGTTTAGTCTTCGACGTATGACCACAACTGAGGCCATCGCTAAGCAAGACAGTTGCTGACTGAGTTGTCACCCCGTTTTACGACTTTCTTGCCACATTCGTCCAGCGAAGCACTGCAGTTGTTGAGTTAGTAACGTGGTCGTTAAGTGAGCCTGGTTTCCCCGTTGGATTTGGCTTGTCCAAAGGTCACAAAAGGGAATTGCGTGATCCCCGGGGACACTGCAACCGTCATAAAGATGAGTCAGTTGCCAAGCGCCCGGATTTTGATCACGTTGGATGCTACAATGGTCGTAAGTGTGAAAAATGGTCCTAAATTGCTTTTTTCAGTGCCATTGTAATTTCAAACAATCACTAAACGAATAGTTATAACTTGAGGACTACCTGTATAGCAATTCTGCTCACCCTTCTTTCCAAGGCCGGTAAATTCATGCGATCATAGATGGTTGGCCTTTTAGATTCTTGTTTTATTGTGAAAGGTTACTCAAAAAGGTAAGTTTTTCTTTTTGGCTGAATTGGCTGATCATTTATTTATCGACGTTGTTGCAAGTGATTCTGTCTCTTTATGTCCCACTTCTAAAATAATTTTTGTGGGTATACCGTGTTTCCCCAAAAATACGACCGGGTCTTATATTAATTTTTGCTACAAAAAACGCATTATTTATTTTTTTTTTATTTTTTTTATTTTTTTTTATTTATTTTATTAAATTTCTATACCGCCCTTCTCCCAAAGGACTCAGGGCGGTGAACAGCCACAAGATAAAACACATAAATACAAAAATTTAAAATAGATTAAAAACGAATTAAATAATTTGGCTGAATTTAAAATACCCCATAATTTAAAACAAATTAAAATTTATATTTAAAATTTATATTTAAAAGGGGAGAAAATTTAGGCCAGGCCAGCTTGATGAAATAAAAAAGTCTTAAGCGCGCGACGGAAGGTGCGCAGATCCGGGATCCTCCGTATCTCCAGGGGGAGCTCGTTTCAGATCGTAGGTGCCCCCACAGAGAAGGCTCTCCCCCTAGGGGCCGCCAGTCGACATTGTTTGGCCGACGGCACCCGGAGGAGTCCCTCTCTATGGGAGCGTACTGGCCGGTGGGAGGCTATTGGTGGTAGCAGACGGTCCCGTAGATAACCAGCATTAGGGCTTATTTTCTGGTTAGGTTTTATTTTTAGGGAAATACGGTACTAAGTGCATCCATCTGGCTGACAATCTTAACTGGGGCTTGTTTTTGGGGTAGGGTTTATATTACGAGCATCCTGAAAAATCACGCTAGGGCTTATTTTCCGGTTGGGTCTTATTTTTGGGGAAACAGGGTATTAAGTATTCTCTTTCATACTCCATCCATCTGGTACAATGGGCTTCGATCCATGAAAGCAAGAAGAGAATATTGGAAGACCAGATTTGAACTTAGTGCTCTCTGAGCTTGGTTGGTTTTTTGGAAAAGTTTCATTGCCAAAATAACACCATCAGTGCACTGATGACGTTAGCTAGTTTGGTAATGAGATGTCTGCAAGAAAGCAGCCGAGCTCAGAGACCACCAAGGACCCCACACCCCCCCACTCCTCCATCATCATTCCTAAAAATCTATTCCCTTCTGGCACTGATGATGTTACTTAGTTTGGTAATGAGATGTTTGCAGGAAAGCTTAGAGACTACCAAGGACCCCGTAATGTGGGAAATACATTGCTTCAACTTTATGCATTTCTTTCCCTCCTAACTTGGTTACCTGTTTTGTAACTGAAACCAACAAATGTTTTATCTTTGCAACGCAGAACTCTGTCCGTCACAACCTTTCCCTTCACGACATGTTTGTTCGGGAGACATCTGCCAATGGGAAAATTGCATTCTGGACCATCCATCCTGAAGCAAACCGCTACCTAACGCTGGACCAGGTGTTCAAGGTAAGTTCCAGGTAGGGAAGGAACCTTCCCAATGCTTGTTTCCCTTATTATTTTATCTAAGTGACATTTTATCTACCGTATTTTTCGGAGTATAATATGATCCAGACTATAAGACGCACCTAATTTTTTGGGGGAGGAAAACAAGGGGGGCAAAAAAATCTGCCTCTGCCTCCCAGCAATTTGCCTCCTTGCAGCAAACAGCAAACAGCCTGCTTCAATTTCATTTTCAGCACAGCCTGATTAGCACAAGAAAAAAAAAGTCTGCCTCCCAGCAATTTGCCTCCTTGCAGCAAACAGCAAACAGCCTGCTTCAATTTCATTTTCAGCACAGCCTGATTAGCACAAGAAAAAAAAAGTCTGCCTCCCAGCAATTTGCCTCCTTGCAGCAAACAGCAAACAGCCTGCTTCTATTTCATTTTCAGCACAGCCTGATTAGCACAAGAAAAAAAAAGTCTGCCTCCCAGCAATTTGCCTCCTAACAGCAAACAGCCTGCTTCTATTTCATTTTCAGCACAGCCTGATTAACACAAGAAAAAAAAAAGTCTGCCTCCCAGCAATTTGCCTCCTTGCAGCAAATGGGGCGCATGGCAATAGGCAATGGCAATCCCTGCAGCCTGAAACAGCTGAGGGTCGGGAGGCCGATCCAACCGACAATCAGCTGCTTGTGCTAATCAGGCTGGGCTGAAGCTGAAACGGGCTGTTTGCTGCAAGGAGGCAAACTGCTGGGAGGCAGAGGCCAAAGGGTGGGGGCTGGCGGGTGGGCGGGGCTACATTCGGTGTATAAGACACACTCCGAAAAAATACGGTAAGTGAAAAGGGAGCATATGGATAGCCAGCAGCTTTTGGAGAGTAAGGGCAAGATTAATGTGGACAAAAGGCTCAGGTAGATTATGTGCAGGTAGTCCTCGATTTATAGCAGTTCATTTAGTGACCGTTCAAAGTTACAACTCCACTGAAGAAAGCAATTTACGACCGTTTTTCACACAACTCTTACGGCACCCCCCATGGCCAGACACTTGGCAACTGACTCGTATTTATGACGGTTGTGGTGTTGCCAAAGTCGCATGATCCCCTTTTGCGACAAGCAAAGTCAGTGGGGGAAGCCAGACTCACTTAACAACCGTGTTACTCCCTTAACAACTGCAGGGATTCACTCAACAACCTTGGCAAGAATGATCGTATAATGGGGCGAAACTCGCTGAACAACTGTCTCATTTAGCAACAGGAATTTTGGGCGCCGTTGTCATAAATCAAGGACTGCCTGTGTTAAGTACTTATGAAGAAGAGCTTGCTTTAATCACGAGCGGAACCAAAATGTGTTTTGTTAGATTTATTTAGAGGCCTAGAATAGGGTAAGAGACAAACTAACCCATCTCTGCTTATTTTCCTGAACTTTTAAAAATGGCGGTCACGTTGTACCAAGTCTTTCAGAGGGGTGTGTGGGTTCAGGGGTTGGTTCCATAGTCATATGGTAGGCCTGTCTCCCCATCTTTGTACTGGAAGTGTGATATGATTTGGGTTTGCTTCTGTTGTGGCCTGTCGGCCGCCAGCCCCTCCAGCAGCGAATCGGAGGAGGAGGAGGTGTGGGAGTCAGGGTCAGCATCCAGGCAACCTGAGGGGGAAGAGGGAATGGAGCTGGCAGAGAGAGAGAGACAGAGGCGGAGCATGGGCCGTCCATCAGCCCTCAGATGAAGAGTAAACAGCCCCAGGTGGCTGATGAGGAAGAGGAGGAACAGCTGGGTCCAGTGTCTCTGACGTGCTGAAGGCAGAGGAGAGGAGAGCAGTGAAAATCTATGGGCCGGTCCTTGGGACGGAAGAGCCACCGCTGCTAGTGAAGCCGCATCCTAGCTCTGGGGATAAAAGGCAGGGAGCAGAGACGAATAGATGTGGCAGACAGCTCTTCATTTTCCAGGCGGACAGGCTTATTAGCCTGAGGTGAGAGAGAAACTTTTTGCCAGGGCTGTTGGCGCTCCTAATAAAGGAATCGTTGATTGAATTCAGAGTTTTTCTTGTGTTTGGGGAGCTGGGTCAAACAGGCTCTGTGTCTCTGCTCCCTGGGGAGGCCAACCAATAATTGAACTGCTCGCAAGGTTGTTTCATCAGTATGATGACATTCACCCCTCAGCTAATCCTGTAGTAGCCGCGTGGTCCCTGGAGAAATGTCCGAATAAGGTTACTGATGTTATGAGAGTTAAGAAGATGAAAGCTTATCCAGGCAGAGAAACAGTGATGTTGCTCTAAAGAAATTGTTGGTTCTGCTTGTGGAGTATTTGGGCATCTGTGACGGAGACTTTTCTAACAGATTCAGCCTCCTATTTTTATTGAGGTGAATATGAGAATCTTCCTTAAGCTGGGTGGCATTCTATTAAGTATTTTAAGTAAAGTTCCTTGAAGAAGTACCGTATTTTTCGGACTATAAGACGCACTTAAGACGAAAGGGGGCGAAAATGTCTGTGCGTCTTATAGACCGAATATTGCTGAAGCCCCGCCCATCCGCCGGCTGTTTCTGGGCCTCCGCACACCCCGTTTTTGGGCCTTTTTTCAGAAAAAAATGGGCTGAAAAAATGGTCATGTGACTGGGTGGGCGTGGCCAACTCGATGTCACTCACGTTGAGGGGCGTCTTGCCAGCCTCTACACGCTACTCCTCGCCTGCCCACCCAGGCTCCTTAGGGGCCCAACAGGAAGCAGTTGCTGGAGCTAAGCAGCCACCATGAGAAACAGTTGGCAAAACAGCTCAGTTCAAATTGGATCTGACCCAGAAGGAGGCTCAGTAGAAGCACCTCACTGAGGACTAGGAGCATAGGCTTTCCAAGCAGAGGGAAGACCTGCGGGAGTGTAAGGCCAGGTACCGGCACCTGAAGGTTCAGTGTTCTGCCCGAGCTACAGAACCCAAGAAATGTTGCACACACAAAACTCCGAACAACTCCGTTTACTACAAACACAGTCTTTTTCAAATGCAGGCTATTACTAAAAATGTCCTTAACCTCCTGCCAGAAATTCCAAAGATTAGATAAAGGCTTACAAGAGTTGGCAATTAGCCCAGAAACCAGGTTTGCATGGAAAATTCACAAAATGCTCAACGAATGACTGGACGAACACACGTTGTTTCCTGCAACGTTTGCCAGCTGTGTGTAAACTTAAATAGGTTAAGGGAGTGGCCAATTAGCCCCAAGCCTTACTCTCAAGGAGACCTCCTCCCGAGTAACCATTCCTGCCTTTTGGCAGCTCTGCGTGCTCATGCATTGAGAAGAGGCTCCTCCACTTCACTCTCTTCACTTGAAGGAGTCTCTGGAGGATCTGAAGGCCCTGGCTGAATCTCTGCCTCTGGCACCACATCTTCTTCAGCCTCCTCGCTGTCCGACTCGAGCGCCGGATGCACAGGCTGCTGGCGCGACACCACACCAGCCTCCTTGTCGTCAGGATCAGCCACAATCTGCGCAGGCCGCTGGCGGGCCACAACACTCAACGGGCTGAAATGGTCAGCCAGTTTCAGACCATGATACAGTCCCACTGCAACGAGCCCCTCCGGCTGTTCACCACCGGCGGCACGTCCCGAAAGCCCCACACAAGGAGGCTGAAGCAGACCCCAAGTCAGAATTTCTGCCTCCCTCCGACCCACACAAAAAAACCCCGAAGGGGGAGATTCTCTGCAGCAACACAAGCGTTCATTGCACGTATCCGGCCCAGGGGCCGTAGTTTGAGGACCCCTGATTTAGTGCAATATAAAAAATGCAAATAATTTTTCTGCAGACCACGAAAACTTTCTCGCGGACCACCAGTTGGTGACCGCTGATCTAAAGCATATAGGGGGACTGTCCTTGCTGGCTGGCGTAAAATGTATTTTGCAACAATCATCCTGGATAGCCTTTTCCAAGATGGTCCTTTTATTTTATTGAGTTCCCTTCTAAGAACTCCCTTAGGAGTATGACTTGGGCAGGATTTCAAACACTTTGGAGAAAAAAATAATCTATTTATAGTCTTAGTCGCCGTCCTTTAGAAAAATTAAAAAAAAAGGGGCTGTGTCTCGTAGCAATAGTCAAAATTGGCATGAAGGACCTTGCCCTTCCCAAAATGAGGCTTCAGCATTATTTTAGACCCGTCCAAATTTAATCTCCATGACAAGGTGAATTTGGTGATGAGAGAAATGGTATCGGATAACAGGACTGACTCAGACAAAAAAAAAAAAAAAACCCGTGCAGGAGACTGAAAGGAGACGAAATCTCTCTGGTTTTTCTCTTGACCATTCAGAGTGGCAGATCTTCCCTTCCGCTTTTCATTGGCCGGGATTCAATAGTCAACCGATCAACCACCTTTCTCCTTCAGCAGGGTGGAAATTCACAGCTCTGGTGCAGTGGTGATTTTTTTTTTTACTATCGGTTCTGTGGGCGTGGCAGGGGAAGGATACTGCAAAATCTCCATTCCCACCCCACTCCAGGGGAAGGATACTGCAAAATCCCCATTACCACCCCACTCCAGGGGAAGGATACTGCAAAATCCCCATTCCCACCCCACTGGGGCCAACCAGAGGTGATATTTGCCGGTTCTCCAAACTGCTCAAAATTTCCGCTACCGGTTCTCCAGAACCTGCTGGATTTCACCCCTGAATTGAATATGTACAGCCTGGAGGACAGACGGGAAAGTGGGGGGGGGGGGGACTTGATTTAAATATTAAGGGTGTGAATAAGATTCTAGAAGGCAGTATTTTCATTTTTTTTTTCTTTTTACGATTTCTGCTTAATTCCAGGTTGCTTCCCTCCTTTGCTTAGTTTCCAACCATTGTTTCTTATTCTTTGGGGAACGGGGGGATTCCCCCCCCCCCCGCTCTTTTTTGTGGCAGCCCCTTAGATATTGAAAGATTCTATCATGTGATCCCTAGTCTTTATTTTCTTTAAACTAGACATATCCAATTCCTGCAACCAGGGTGGATTTGATTTAAATCGAGTTGATTTAAATCACAATTTAAATCATGATTTAAATCCCTAGTAAAAAGGCTTGATTTAAATCAACTCGATTTAAATCATCATTTTTAAAGAGCGACTGTCATCTCTGCTACTCCTTTGACCCACTGTTGACTCACCGATAGTCCCAGTGTTGCAGAATATACAGCCTCGTGCTCCATAACTAAGCTCCATTTCATGCTGAATAAACTAAATTATTTATGTATCTTAAACAGAAAACTATCTTACGATAGATTTTTACCCCAAAAGTTTTTTATTAAAATAAATTCGATAAAAATCAAAAAAAAACCTGATTTAAATTAAAAAAAAATCCGATTTAAATAAAAAAAAATCTGATTTTTTTTATTTATTTTTTTTAAAAATCATTGATTTTTATCCATCCTGCCTGCAACTGTTCTTTGTATGTTTTAGCCTCCGGTCTCCTAATCATTTTTGTTGCACTTCTCTGCCCTCTTTCCAGAGTCTCAACATCTTGTTTTATATCATAGTGACCAAAACTGAATGCAGTATTCCAAGTGTGGCCTTACCGTGGCATTATAAAGTGATATTAACACTTCTTGTGATCTTGATTCTATTCCCTCTGTTAATGCAGCCTAGAACTGTGTTGGCTTCTTTGGCAGCTGCTGCACACAGCTGGCTCATCGTAGTTTCCCAGTCCTCTAACAAAATCCACTTGCTGCTTTACCTTCCATCAGTCCTGGGCCCTTGGATCCTAACTTTCCTTTTTTATGTGTCTCAATCTTAATGCAGCAGCAGAAACGTCCAACTCTGGATCTTCAGAAGAACTTCAAAGTCACCAAAGCGGAGTCCCAGACTTCCCGTAAGTATAAGTTTGCATCTGTGCAAAGCCCCTATTCCACGCTGGTCATTGGAGGAAGCAAATGGAAACCATTTGGCTGATAGGAAGAGCATCACTGTAATGGTACATAGCGGGGGTCGGCAACCTTAAACACTCAAAGAGCCACAAAGGTCCTAACCGGAGGCCCCCCGTTCAATTCTGGAGCCGACCGGAAGTCCGGTTCCCCCACCACAGAATCTTCTTCTAGCGCGGCTTCTCTTTTTCCTCTACCTGTCCTAACCGAAAGCCCTATCAATTGTGGAGCCGACTGGTGACAGGGAGCCGCAGCAGAGGGATGAAAGAGCCACATGCGGCTCCAGAGCCACGGATTGCCGATCCCTGGTATATAGGAATGACCTTGGGAAATGGCGGGCAGTGAGGAGAGATGCTACCTAGGGAATGATTAGATAAGAGGGAGGGAACCTTTAGCTGTATAACAGGCAGAGTAAAAAAAAAAAAATCAGTAGAATCCTCCCTAACTTACCAGGCTGTAAAAAGAGACAGTAGATGATTTGTAATTTCAGATTCGCAAGATTTTTTTTTTTGTTTTTTTTTTAATTTGATTTATATGCTGCCCTTCTCCAGAGACTCAGGGCGGCTTACAATGTGTTAAGCAATAGCCTTCATACTTTTGTATATTTATACAAAGTCAGCTTGTTGCCCCCACAAACTGGGTCCTCATTTCACCTACCTTAGAAAGGATGGAAGGCTGAGTCAACCTTGAGCCTTGGAGAGATTCGAACCAGCAGTAATTGCAGGCAGCTGTGTTAATAACAGGGTGCTTAGACCACTGTACTATCAAGGCTCTTGTTAACGTCGCCTTACACTTTTAGCTCATCTGGTCCAGTGTGGTCTATTTCAGAAGGCTGACATCAGTTTTGGACTCCATTGTGGTCGTAAGTCGAGGATTACCTGTATGGTGGAATGTAGCGTGGAGATGAATTCCAGGAGAGGGAGGGGCTGCATTCTGGAGAAGTAAGAGGCAACTCAGTCCAGATATCATGTGTGAGAGAAAGAGGGTGAAGACAGCTCCTTCCTAATACAGGTAGTCCTTGACTTATGACCACAATTGAGCCCAAAATTTCTGTTGCTAAGTGAGACATTTGTTAAGTGAGTTTTGCCCTATTTTTATTACCTTTCTTACCGCTGTTGTTAAATGAATCACTGTGGTTGTTAAGTTAGTTAACACGGTTGCTAAGTGCACCTGGCTTCCCTCATTGACTTCGCTTGTCAGAAAGTCGTAAAAGGGGAACACATGACGCCAAGACACTGCAAAGGTCATAAATACGAATCAGTTGCCGAGTGTCTGAATTATGATCACATGATTTTGGGATTGTTGTGTCAGTCGTAAACCTGAAAAATGGTCATCAGTCACATTTACATTGTAACTTTGAAGTGTTCTGTCCCCATCTCACACACGCACACAAACAGGCAGCCGGGGGTTAAATAAACTGGCAGACAACCAATTCTTCCGATAAGATGCTTGGCAGCAACCCAGTAGCTGCTTGCCAAGAACTTTACTCAATAAGCAAAATACCCACAGTCAAGAATTGTCCAGTTTGTAAAATAAATCCAAGGCCGATAATGTTGTTTCCAAAGATGCAATGTGACTTGATAGTAGTTAGTTTTGTCCGTCACAGAGTCTGAATGGCCACCTCACCCCCTTTTATATCCTGTGGGGTGTGGTCCAGTGACTCAGCCTAATCTCTGGCACGCCTTTTCTTCTGTTGCTCGCACTTATCTCTGCGACGCTGCAGAGGATCCAGCCAAGACTCATTACCCTCATCACTGTCCACCTGTGGCTGCGTGGACGTGCTTGGCCCCGGCCCTATCTCTTGCCCTTCGGCGGACACCGAAGGCATTGCCAGAGAGGAGGGTCCTGGAGAGGGAGGCCTTGCCAATTCCTCTCCTTCACTCTCGGAGTCCTCTCCTGCTGATGACACAGGCTCAGGTAACGGAGCCGCAACATGAAGAGTCGCTAAACGAACTGTTGTAAGTTGAGGACTTCCTGTAATCCACACAGCATATGGTAGATGCAGATAGTAGAGTGTTTAGTCTGGCAAGATTCTGTCTACCGGTGTGGATACAATAAAGAACTCAGCTTGGAAGAGTTGCGACGTGTCGTTCTTGACTTTGGGCTTAACAATGAAGCTTTTCTTTCTTAGGGCCGAGGATTAAGCCCTTGCTACCACGGGTCAGTTCCTACTTGGTTCCGGTCCACTTCCCAGCGAGTGAGCCATTTCACCTTCAGTTGCCTTCAAGGCCATCTCTGCCTGCAGGCCAGACTGCTTTGGGGACCACGCAGATCAACACAGGGGAACGCCCTGCTCCAAAGGTCAGTCTCCCACGTCTCCTTGTTTTTCTCGGGTACGTGTTTGTATGGATCAGGGGTTTCAAACTCAAGGCCTGTGGGCCGGATCTGGCCCACGGGGTGCTTAGATCAGGACCATGGGAGCCACCCTGGAAACAGTGATGGACCAGCCCGCGGTGCCTCTGCCAATGAAAATGGAGCTCGGGAAGGCTGTGTGTGGCCCTCCCAAGCTCTGTTTCCAGCTGCAACGGCCTCCTGCAGCCCTCTGCCAGCAAAAACGGAGCTCGGTAGGGGTGCGTGTGGTAGAGGGCTGCAGGAGGCACTCGCAGCCGAAAATGGCACCTGGGAGGACAATGGATCCCCCCAACCCTGCCCCGGCCACCACAGGTGCCTCTGACACGAGTGACGTCAATCTGGCCACACACACACATGCCCCCCTTCCCCCCCTGCGAGGTCAAACACAACCCTGATGCGGCCCTCAATGAAATCGAGTTTGACACCCCTGGTCAATACAGTTAGTCCTCGACTTACAACCATTGTTTAGTGACCGTTCAAAGTTACAACGGCCCTTGGAAGTAAAGGCTTTTAACCATTTTTCCACTCTTACGACCGTGGCAGCATCCCCATGATCGTGTGATCAAAATTCAGACCTGCTTGGCAATTGACTCATACTTATGACGGTTGCAGTGTTCCAGGGTCACGTGATCCCCTTTTGTGACCTGACAAGCAAAGTCAATGGGGAAGCCAGGATTCACTTAACAACCGGGATACTAACTTAACAACTGCAGGGATTCATTTAATAATTGTGGCAAGGAAGATTGTAGAATGGGGCAAAATTCACTTAACTGTCTCGCTTAGCAACATAAACGTTGTGCTGAATTGTGGTTGTAAGTTGAGGACTCCCACTACAGGATCTCTGGCTGATGTATAGATTCCCTAGAAGTTGTTGGCGATCCCTTTCGGCTCAAACAGCAGCTGTAATGCCTGAATAAATGGAGACTAAGAACAACTGTCAGATTAAGACAGCAAATTTCCATGCCTATAAAATAACTGACCCCTATGAAAATGTGGGGGCGCGGTGGCTCAGTGGCTGAGACGCTGAGCTTGTCGATCGAAAGGTCGGCAGTTCAGCGGTTCGAATCCCTAGCGCAGCATAACGGGGTGAGCTCCCGTTACTTGTCCCAGCTTCTGCCAACCTAGCAGTTCGAAAGCACGTAAAAAATGCAAGTAGAAAAAATAGGGACCACCTTTGGTGGGAGGATAACAGCGTTCCGTGTGCCTTTGGCGTCTAGTCATGCCGGCCACATGACCACGGAGACGTCTTCGGATAGCGCTGGCTCTTCGGCTTTGAAACGGAGATGAGCACCGCCCCCTAGAGTCAGGAACAACTAGCACATATGTGCGAGGGGAACCTTTACATTTACCTATGAAAATGTGTCTAAAGCTGTGGTGGCGCACTGCAGTACTGCAGGCTACTTCTGCTGACTGCCGGCTGACTGCAATTTGGCAGTTCGAGTCTCACCAGGCTCAAGGTTAACTCAGCCTTCCATCCTTCCGAGGTGGGTAAAATGAGGACCCAGATTGTTGGCGGCAATAGACTGACTGTAAACCACTTAGAGAGCGCTGGAATGCACTATGAAGCAGTATATACCCATGTTTTCCCCGAAAATAAGACCCTGTCTTATATTTTTTTGAACCCCGAAATAAGCACTTGGCCTTATTTTTGGGGAGGTCTTATTATTTTGGGGCATGTGGAGCAAGATGGGGCTTCTCTTGCTATCTTATCTAATTTCCAGCTCTGTCTCCCTAACCCTAAGCAGAGGAAATGGCGGGGACCAGCTGCGCATGTGTTTAAATATTTTCAGGGAGGGCTTATTTTCGGGGGGGGTTATTTTAGCGCATGCGCTCAAAAGCCCGATTGGGTTTATTATCAGGCGATGTCTTATTTTAGGGGAAACAGGGTAAGTCTAAGTGCTGTTGCTACAGCTAAAAATGAAGAACATTGACAGCTTCTTCCTTCCCATTGTTGCTTTTGCAGATCCTGCGCTCCAGCGAAGACCCTGTCCTGTCGCCGCCTCCGAGTTCCATAAAGGAGGAACATTATTGTGGTGAAGAGTCTTCTCCATTAACCCTCCAGCGCCCTCTTGAGGAAGGAAGCTGTACAGACAGAGGAAATCCATCGGCAGGAGTCCTGAGTGACAGTTTTCATTCCCAGGAGTGGGTCTCCTCTTTCGTCCCAGTATGGCCTGTAAAGAAGGAACCGGCGGGAGCCGGCGAGGAGCAGAACCTCTGTGTCCAAGCATCCCCCATAAAACAAAAGAGACAGGTTACAGGTCTCCGATCATCCCCCGAAAGCAAGCTGGTTATAAAGAGGCAAGAATTGGGCAGATCCAGAAGGAAACAGCACTTAACTCTCTCTTCCTCAGAAGAACCGGTTCTTCTTCTGCCCATCAGTGGAGGCTCAACTTCCTTCCTGCTGGGACACGGTCCCTCCGCTCAGAAGGCACCTCTAGGAACCCTTGTCTGTGGTCCGGAAGAAGAACCGCCAGTGACTTGCAGGTTGCCGATTGCGTCCACCCCAAACAAAACTCCCGTAACCACCTCTACCACCCTGCCACCTACTGACCAGTGGAGATTGACCCCTATGGTCGACGATAGGAACAAAGTTGATTTCAGTTCTCCGAGATCTTCTCCTTTGCCGTTCCTGCCCTTCCAGGATAATCTAGACCTGGAGTTGAACGAGAACCCGCTGAGACAATCCCTGTGTGATTCTCCCCAGTGTCCGCTTCTGAACGCAGACATGGGTGAACTAGTGCCTGGGCTCTTGAACACTTCTTCTCCATCCAGCAAGGTGGCCTGTGAGTTTGCAGGGGACAATTCCCTCCTGGAAGACCTCGTCTTGGATAACATGCCTGAGAATTGGAGCAAGCTCTCGCTAGACATCAGTTTTCCAGACCCCGGGAATGACAATCTGGAGACCGATCTGAGCTGGTCCCAGCTCCTTCCTCAGCTGAAATGACCCAATTGGACTCGCCGAAAACAACCTCAACCTGTGTCGCACATTTAGGAGACCCAGCCCTGTACCCTACTGGCACTTCAGCAAACATGGCTCTTGATTAACTCGGAGGTCACCCGTATGAATGATCAAGGAAGCCTTAACCATGGAGTTTGAAAGAAAGCTCCCCTGTCCTGTTTCCTGCAGCTTTTTTTTTCTTTGTCCGATGATGGTTTTGGCAAATTTACAACACCTTGTAAGGGGGTCAGGTCAGGTCGAAAGCTCAGTCGTTTTGGAGACAGCTTTCTTCTTTCAAAGGAAAATTTCATCCGTGGAAAAGTGCCTGGGCTATACAAATGCCATCTTACCTAGCCTTGAAACCCTTGATGCTTTTTTTTGGGGTGGGTGGGTGGGTGATTGCTTGTTTTCTCCCCTGGCTTATTCTAATAATAGGAGCCTGATCTATACCATTCTCATATCGCTGTTTGAAAAGCCTCAACCGGTTCAAGGCTGGCAGACAGTCGGAAAACAATAAAAAATTGTGCCACTTGACAGGGTTCCCGCCACATATGTAGCCTAAACCAGAGCTTTCCAACATTTCCAGCTTTGGCTTGGGAGAGGAGAGGGGATGGTTCATGCAAGCGGCGGCAAGCGCGCATACACGGTTCCATTTCCACAAGCACCGTGCACGCACGCCTGCCACTCACGCACATGGAGCAACCGTACCGTGCTCGCACGCTGCTCGTGTAAGTAAGCGAGGATGTGCGCACGTGTGCGTGCTCACCGTCCGTTTCTTGCAAACTCCTCACGGCCCACACAGGTTGGGGACCCCCCCCATGGCCTAACGTATCAAGAGAAATATTTTAAGGAGCCGTATTTGGCTGACAACTGAAGTGGGATTCGTTTATCCAGAAAATGCTGCATTTTTAGGCCTAGCTAGAACGTCTTTTGCCTCCGCACGGTTCGCCAGCACTTAAAAGCCACGAAGCCGCTCTGCGGTTCTCAAGGGTCCTTCCTGCTGCCAGGCGCAGGAAGCTTGAAAGAAAACCCCAAAAGCCCACGGCTCTGGTCCCAAAGATTGCTGAAAAGCTGGCCTTCTCAGTTTGCAGGCAGAGCAAAAACATTTTCCCCATGGGGTCGTGGAGCTGGAAGTAGATTGAATTTCTTGATTGAATAGTTCCGGTTGCCTTGATAATCTCCACCAAGTGAAGCAGTGAAGCCAGATATAGAGCAAAAGGATGCTCTAAACTGGTAGACCAGGGGTGAAATGCTACTGGTTCGCACCGGTTCAGATGAACTGGTAGTAATAAAAACTACCGGTTTGGGTAAACCGGTTCGTCTGAACCGGTATTTCCGACGATCAGCTGTGCTGTGCGATTTATATTCTAAATCGCACAGCACAGCTGTTCCCTCGCTGCTCTACTTACCTTCTTAAGCCTCCTTTTTCCGCACACAGCATGTGTTTGGCATGCACTGCACATGCGCACACAGCATGTTTTTAGCATGCGTGCGCGGGCAGCAAACCGGTGGCTAACCGCGGAGGATTTCCCCACTGTGGTAGACTCATACCTGTAAGGTTCTGGATAAGAGCTTTCAATGGAGGTAGTCCTCTATCGAAATGGTCCAGCCTGCTCTTTTTTGAGAGATGCCTAAAGCAGAAACGGAGCCACACATCGGGGCCAGTTCGCGTTCATGATCCTCGCCGCAGCAGTAAAACCCAAATGTATGTCCTTTCGCATAATTTTATTCTCTTAAAATCCTGCTTCGGCCTCTGAAGAAGGAATGCAAGACATTAAGCGAAGCTCGAGGCGCAGCATGATGATCTTGAGATTCAAACTGGCCGCCTCCAGATTGAAACGAGACCGGTGCTTCGGAAGAAGTCGTGCTGAGTTGGTCCTTGTCTCAAAACGGGAGCCTTTTAAGCAGCTCTGATCCAGTGATAGTTCCTTTGAAAAGTGTTGGAAAATGGGGTTTGGATGGTCTCCTAAGTCAGGGGGTCTCCAACCTTGGTGACTTTAAGACTTGTGGACTTCAACTCCCAGAGTTCCTCTTGAAGTCCACAATTTTTAGGGGTCCACAAACTTGTGGACTTCAACTCCCAGAACCTGTGGACTTCAACGCCCAGAGTTGAATTCTGGGAGTTGAAGTCCATAAATTTGAGTGGTCCACAAACTTGTGGACTTCAGCTGTCCCAGAACTTGTGGACTTCCCACTTGTGGACTTCCCAGAACTTGTGGACTTCAGCTCCCAGAGTTGAATTCTGGGAGTTGAAGCCACAAATCTTAAAGTTGCCAGGGTTGGAGACCCCTGTCCTAAGTGACGCTAACCAGAAGAGACTCAGAGATGGGCTGAGGCATCTAACCGCCCCAATTTGGCAATTGTGGCCACTGGTTAAACAGGATGCCGTCTCCTGATTTTGAGGGAGCACATGGCTCCTTCTAAACGTCCAGCCTTGTTTGTCTGAATGGCCCTTCCGTTCTGAGCGTACCTTGTCACTTTATCGTTGTCTTGGTAGTCCAGTGCCCTCATTCCAAGGTGGCGTTAGATTCTGCCTGGACAGTTCTGATCTTCGGGAAATGAAATCACTGATGAAAATTTCCCTTTGGTTGGGATAACTGCAGCAAAACTGATCCCCTCAGGTCCAGCTGGCTGGAATGACGGGAAGGTAGATGGGAGGCCCACAAAATGCTTGTTTTCTTGCTTTTTTTTTTTTCCCCCTATCTCTGACCAGTTTCCTCAGCTGCAAAAGCATAGCACCCCTTCCCGAATCCATATTGGGCGCCTGCTCTTTTAAATATTTTGAAGCTCCCACTCGTCACATGGGAGGTTACCGTTTTTCTCATGAAATCTTAACTCGGGTGGAGGCTATTAAAATCTGAATTCAGGTAACCAGTGCAATAGCTCTTCTGATATTTTTCTTCACTCTGGCATGTTGCAAACTCACGCAAATGTAAATCTAGCAGTGGTAAAAAAAAAAAATAAAGCCTGCCTTTGAATCACCCTGATCCTGTGTGACTTCGGTGTGGTTTTCATTTTGGTCGCCACGATGTAAAAAAAGATGTTGAGACTCTAGAAAGAGTGCAGAGAAGAGCAACCAAGATGTTAGGGGATTGGAGACTAAAACATATAAAGAACGGTTGCTGGAACTGGATATGTCTAGTCTTATGAAAAGAAGGAATATCAGTGACGTGATAGTACTGTTCCAATATCTTGGGGTTGCCACAAAGAAGAGGGAGTCAAGCTATTGTCCAAAGCAGATGATGGCAGGACCAAAGCAATGGGTGGAAACTAATCAAGGAAAGAAGCAACCTAGAACTAAGGAGAAGATTCCTGATGGAACAATTAATCAATGGAAAAATTTGCTTCCAGAAGTTGTAAATAGCACTAGAACTTAGATTTATATATCGCTTCACAGTGCTTTCCAGCCCTCTCTAAGCCATTTACAGAGTCGGCAATCTGGGTCCTCATTTTACCCACCTCGGAAAGATGGAAGGTTGAGTCAACCTTGAGCCTGGTGAGATTCGATCTGCCAAACTGCTGGCAGCCGGTGATCAGCAGAAGTAGCCTGCCGTACTGCACTCTAACCACTGCGCCACCGCGACTCTTATAATGTTCCAACACGGGAAATTTTGAAGAAGATGTTGGATAACCATTTGTCTGAAGTGGTGTAGGGTTTCCTGCCTAAGCAGGGGGTTGGACTAGAAGACCTCCAAGGTCCCTTCCAACTCACAATCAACACACTCTTTTATGAGGAAGAATCTGCAGATGAAGGCATCTGCTGTTCTAAATACATCTGAATTTTAGCCAGGAATGATACTTTTTTATTATCAACATCGATCAGGGCACAGCAAATGAATAGGCACAACACGATCACAGATCGAATTGTGGGATAAGGATGGACTCCTAATCAAGTCTGAATTGAAGTGGGCCTCTTCCGAAGGATGGCTTCCTGAATTTAATGGGATTTGTCAAGGTAAATATGCATGGGATTACCGAGAAGTTAATACTGGCTTATATTAATTCCTGTATTAAACTTCTAAGTCACACCAGGCTCTCTTGCCTTTAACCGCATAGCACAGATAATTCAAGAGCAGGCGATCTGCTACAGGTTCCGGGAATTAAAAACTTGACGGAATGGGGAAGCAAAATGGGAATGTTTTTAAGCCCTCTATCCCTGTGTGGCTCAGTTTCCAAGACACTCAGAGTATCTAAGAGCTTGTCGATCGAAAGGTTCAGCGGTTCGAATCCCTAGTGCCACGTAATGGGGTGAGCTCCCGTTACTTGTCCCAGCTTCTGCCAACCTAGCAGTTTGAAAGCACATTAAAAAAAATGTAAGTAGAAAAATAGGGACCACCTTTGGTGGGAAGGTAACAGCATCCCGTGTGCCTTTGGCGTTGAGTCATGCCGGCCACATGACCACGGAGACGTCTTCGGACAGCGCTGGCCCTTCGGCTTTGAAACGGAGATGAGCACCGCCCCCTAGAGTCTGGAACGACCAGCACATGTGTGCGAGGGGAACCTTTACCTTTACCTATCCCTGTGTAGGAAAAAGACGTCACCATTTTCTTCCTTCAGGCCTTGATTGAAGTCACAGTTCCTAGGATGTGACATCACAACTAGTTGCTGTGGCAATTCTCCAGCTATGAAAGTGGGAAAACTCAACTTTGTAGAAGGTAGAAGAAAGAGAAGAAGCGAAGCCCACAAAACAAAGGCAGGTAGTTTTCTCGGCTTTATACACGCGGAAACACAGTTTTTCAGTCGCACAATTCAGTTTCGTCAAAATATTCACAATCGCCTGCTCCCCTTGTTTGACAGATTTTCTTCCAAGGTATATTCTTTGAAGTATATAGGTCTGTAGATTACAGTATACAGTAGTGGCCAAAATTGTGGAAACCTTTTGGGAAAAGTGTATTTTTGAGGTTTGATGGCTAATAACACCACTTTTTTTTTTTTGGAGTTTCAAGATAATCCTATTGCACTGCTGGAATGGCCCTGGGAATAGCCCAGACCTTAACCCAATTGAAAATCTATAGAACCGACTAAAGAAACTTGTTAGTCAGAAGCGACTGCAATAAAACCCAGTTAATAGAAGCCATCACTCAATCTTGGTTTCATATTAGAACAGCTGCAGAACTAAAAGATTTGGTTCACTCTGTGGGAAGATGTTGTAAGGCCATAATTCATGCTAAAGGTTACCCAACTAAGTATTCACTGACATGGTGATCATTTTTGTATATCTCGTTTTTTCTATGGTGATAATTTTTGTATCTCATTTTTTTTCTACGTGTTTCACTTTTCTTTATACTGTAACTGCTATTCTAATAGCAAATCCTTCATAAAAGTTATTGCACTACATTCTTGATTAAATTATCTTTATTGATATTTTATGGTACTACACAAA